CGTGGAGTAGTTTGTTGATCTCCTGATTGATTACCTTCTGGCATTCTGGGACAAAACTCTTTCATTTTTGCTTAACCGTGCTGCAAGTGGGATTCACATTGAGCTTGTGTGTGATAATCGAGGGGTCGATTCCTTCCATGTCTTCTTGCTTCCAGGTGAATACTCCCCTATTCTCCTTTTGGAATTGGATGAGGAGGTCTTTTGTTTCCTTGCTTAGCTTAGACCTGACGTAAACAAGGTGTTCAAGCTCCTCATCAAGCTGGATAGGCTCCAGCTCCTCTAATGGTGTTGGTTTAGTCTCCAGTTTGTCCATTATATCTAGCTCATCTAGTTGGACATTCTCGACTTCTCTCTGTTTCATCGAGGTCATGTAGCACTCCCTTGCTACCCGTTGGTCTCCTCGGACCACTCCAACTTCAGTTTTCGTGGGAAATTTCATAACCAAGTGATAGGTAGAGGGGATTTCCTTCATCTCGTTGAGGGAGGCCCTCTCGAGAAGCATATTATATGCAGAAGGGGCATCCACCACTAGGAACCTTACTGTGATGGTGGCCTGGCAAGGAGGATCTCCCATGGTGAGGACGAGTCGTATTAAACCTAGGGGCAATCCCCTTTCTCCTGCGAAACCCAACAGGTGAGTAGTGATCGGCTCCAACTTTTCCCTACCTATGTCCATTTTGTCAAACGCAGAAGCGAATATGATATTTACTGAGCTCTCATTGTCAATTAAGACTTGGTGAACAGTTCTATTAGCCACTACAGCTCTAACCACTAGTGTGTCATCATGGGGGTGTTGGTATGCTTCCAAGTTTGAGTCCGAAAAGGTGATGGCCGTGTTCAACCGAGGTGCCTTGGACACTATGTGTATCGCCATCTCTAATTCTGCACAGGTGCGCCTTCCGGGCAGAACTGGACTCCCCTCCCGCTGTGAACCCTCTAGAAATTACTCTGATTTCGCCCAGGGTTGTTGATGCAACACAGGAACTTGTTGCTGAGGCGGTGGAGGTGGAGGGGCTCGGTCTTGATTATCCCGAGCTACATAACAGCGCAACTGACCTCGCTGGATCAGGAACTCAATCTCTTTCTTCAGTTGGATACAATCATCAGTATGGTGGTCATGATCTCTATGGTATTGGCTATACTTTGTGGGATCTCTCTTTGCTGGGTCTGCTTTCATCCGGGGTGGCCACCTTAAAAATTTCTCGCTCTGCACCTCGTATAAGATCTGAGATATCGTTGGGGTGATTGGGGGGAGCTGTCGAGGTGCGTACCTTGGCTATAGCTCTGGCCGTGGCGGACCTAAACGATCTCTGACACCTCCCCTCCTTTTGGGAGAACGATCTCTGTCCTTTCTTGGAGACCTATCACGCCCTCTTTCTCTTCTAGGACTTTGATCCCTTTTCCTTTCCTCTTTTCCTTTGTCTTTTTGAGTAGATGAACTTCCCACTTTTGAGAGAAGGGTTTCTTCACCATTTATGTATTTTTCTGCCTTAGCCAATACCTCAGCCATGCTTGCCTAAGGGTTCTTTGAAATAGAGAACTTCAGATCTTTGGATTGTACGCCCTGTCCAGCTATAAATGTTGTAATGACAAACTTTTCATCTGCGACATCCACTTTCAGTGACTCCGAGTTGAACCGTTAGACATATGACCTAAGGTTCTCTTGGGGTTCTTGCTTCACGTTCAATAAGTGGTAACTCGGCTTCTAGTATATTTGAGCTCATATGAAGTGAGATACGAAGGATATAGAAAGTTCTTTAAAGAAGGAGATTGAGGCCGGGGGGAGCCTATTGAACCATGTCAGGGCTGACCCTTTTAACGTGATGGCGAAGGCTCTACAGCGCACTGGATCTTGGTATCCATGGAGTTCCATCTGGTTTTTATAAGTATTTAGGTGGTCCATAAGGTCCTTTGTCCCATCAAAAGCTTCCATTTGCGACATTCTAAATTTTGGGGGAGGAAAAAATGCAACACCCCTGCTGTGAATGACGACTCAGTTTGTTGTACCAGGGCATCTATTGTAACTGGAACCTTGTTCTTCACAGCTTTCTTCATATGACTGAGCTCTTGCTGGATGCCATTGAAGCGCTGCTCCTAATACTGCTCTCTCCTCTCCTGTTGATAGGTGAGAAAATCATTACTTTCTTCCCCAATATTTTGACTTTGCACCTCTTTATTGCGTCCATTCCTTGGGGGTGGATGAGGATCTTGTCTCCAGGTTTGACTGTTTTTCTCTCCTTCACCAACTTCTCTGAGGGGGTCGAGATGTTGTTGCTCTCTGTGAAGGGAGTTATTCTGGCCTTCTTGGGCCGATCGTGCCTCCTCAGGCCATTGTAAAGAGCTCTTCATTATGTTGTATCAGACGTTGATTAACTAGACGAAGAGCCTCCAACTCATTATTTGCGTGGGAATTCCCCATGGGGGGATTTGCCCTTGGGACATTTTCAGGCTGTCTGTCGTTGGTGGCTTCCTGTTGTTCTTGCATCTGTGGTAGATTGGTCTGACTTCTGCTCATGTTACGGGTTAAAACCATCAGTCACTGAAAGATTAGCGTATTTTTAACAAGAATAATCGTTCTCACAGACGGTGCCAAATTGATGGTGTATATCAATGTGGTGTAAATTTATGGTAATAAGCAGATGAAATAATCAGTATCTGACTATTAGGATCCGAGCTATAAGGCTTGAAAGAGCAATCAATGGAAAATTAGGGGATTGACGCAGTAGAATTATAGTGGTTCACCAGCTTGGGAGCTCGACTAATCCACTCTTTAATGGAGTCTCTTGCTCCTTTTCTTTTTATTCCTCCTCCTGAAGGTTTACAAGATAGAGTATATGTTACTAGGGTCCTCTCTTCCCTTTGGGAGAGTTACATAATATTTATAGGGCTATTCCTAGTTCTATGAGATCTACCCCGAGATCCTTGCTATTTATCCGAGGAACTCTCTTTAATCTTAGGAGAAGATCTTGGTTGATTAAGAATTTTATGCCTTCAACATGGCTCTTTGTCACCTAACAACTTCCTGTTATCATCTAGCTGTTTCCTTATCACTTTCGCTGTTGGCGCGCCTGGGGGAAAGAGCTCTAGCTCTGACCTGGGCTTTACGTGTCTTCCCTGACTTCTTTTCCAGACTTGCTCGTTTGACCTCTTGGTCCGACCTCATGCTTGGAAATTACTCTGAGTACTATCAAAAATAATATCAAACATGTAAAGTTAAGTAAAGTAAAATCATCAAACATATATTCAATTTCAATGTATTCAATTTTCAATACAACTTGTAAAGTTAAGTAGAGAAAAATACCTCTATTGAAGTTCAACTGAATTCCAGACTCAAAGTCTAAATCCAACTCTTCGACAATGCATCAATCTAAGCATAATCTATGTAATTTGCACTCTTCAAAGTTCAAACTTCAAATTCAAACTGTAGCAAGACACATAAAAACAAAACGAAGCACATTAGCATTACATAAGGACTCAAATAAACGAAATTGAAAATAAATTTATCTAACCACAGTCTAGTTTCACTTGAATATACAAATATTACCACTATTATCAATCAAGTGATTAACTAATCTATAACCCAATTATATATAATGAACAATAAGAATCTCAAACAAGCTACAAGTTCAATCAATTCATAATGCTCTTACCGCAATAAATAATCCAAAAGTTCACAATTTTTAACAAACATAAAACACACAAATGAAAAGTACAATACCACAATTCATAAGTTACAAGTACAAAATCTCAAATATGAAATAACAATTTTCATAAAAGTAAAACAAATGTTCACTTCTGAAAACATCTTATATACCTACTTAGTAATGAGGGAAGGAGGTAAATTTATTGTGATGGGAGCAAGAAAAACAAATTTGGGGATTGTACATCCAAAATTGTTATGATGTACTCAAAAATTGACAATCCCTCTATTGACAGTATAGTTAGGGGATTAGTTGTTATCAACAACAAAACAGTAGACGAGAAACTATAATTATTGTGAAATTTAGGGACCCAAGAGAAAAACACATCACTTAGGAAATCTAGAAGTAATAAACCAAAGAGAAAAAAGCTTCGTTCCTTGTTAGAAATATTTGCATATGAAGACTATGGTGTACATATGTAGTTTTCCAGGAAAGTCACGTCTGGGTCTCATTTGATTTTCTATCCATTTACCTTTATTTTGAAAGCAATTTAGACGTTGTTGATGATTCGTGGCAATTGCAACACAATATATAGGAAAAAGCAGCAAAACATTGGTGGAACTACTGCTCGATGCGAGTCGATGATGGTTAGTCGGTGGAGGACTCGATGGTCACTCGGTGGAGTCTGATCTAATGGATGGAGGACACGATTGGACCACTGGTTCTGGCTAGAAGGTGGATTGGAGTCGATGTTGCCTGCTGGGGTGGAGGGTGGAGTTTGGACTGGACACTGGAGTCACTGGTGGGAGGCAGTCACTGGTCTGTCTATAGCGATTTAGGGCAAATCAAAAGGACAAAAACACAAAATACAAAAAAGTGCAAAAAAATTGAGATTTATACAAATTTAATTAAACCGCCATGTTTGGTTCAATTTGTTCACTTCGCTCGGGTTCATCGGTTTTTGACCGGTTCAACAGTTTGATCCCGATTTTCATGCACAAACGATTTTTTATTCGAACCGATCTGATTTCAGTATCGATTCATCGAATCAACCCGTCGAGCTGGACCAAGTTTTAAAACACTTCTCGACCAGACTTTTAACCCAAGGTGAAGGGGGTTACACTTAACCAGGTAGGTTAAAAAATACTGTAGTATTCGGGTCAAATATAGACCCGAAATTTCTATCCAGCCACAATTTTTGATTCGCAAACAAGAAATACGTGAGACCCACAACGATATTAGCCTATCCGGTTAACCCACTTTAACCCACTGGCCAAACATACCGTAAATGCAAAGTTCAGTGGCACCCGCACGCGGAACACTACCTCTAGAGAAATTCGAGAGAGAGAAGAGAGCGTAATGGCGAACGCAGAGGTAGAGGCGGTGGATTTCGAGCCCGAGGACGATGATCTCATGGACGAGGACGGTGCGGTGGATGTCGACGCTTCGCCTAGGGCTCCGATCCCAAAGCTCAAGTCCGCTATCACCGGCGGATCTTCTTTCTCCGTTCCTAAGAAAACTAAAGGCCGTGGATTCCGTGAAGAGGCCGCTTATAACGACCGCAACGCCCGCATGTCCGAACGATTCGAGTCTCTCGACTCACCTGATCAAAAAAAGAAGTCTGTCGACTCCGATGGTGGCCCCGGCCCCGAAAGATGTCAGTCTCTCTCTCTCTCTCTCTCTCTCTCTCTCTCTATATATATATATATATATATATATATAGACGTGTATAGTATTCCGAGATTATATTTCTTTTTGTATTAACTTTGATTTTCTGTGTATATATTGATTGTTGTTATTGTTGATGCTTTTTGTAGACAGGGTTTTATTCTCTTTGGGCTTTTTATTTTTGAGTTGGAGATATGTTTGGTAGCATAGTAACTGGAGGAAAAACGGAAAAGAGGAATTGAGATATGAATTGTACGGTCTACTGGTTATTCTAGGGTTCTACTGTTTTAGGGTTTTTGAATTTATGCTTATGGTTTTAGGGTTATTGTGTGGGGGGCATTTTTAGTGGTCTGATTGTTTACTTAGCAACATGAGCGGAAGGAAGACGGAGGTGACAATTTTGCTTTTATAAGTCATTGGGCGATGGTTAACTCTTACGGTGGATCGGTGAGATTATGGCAACAAGGAACAAGGTTAAAAAGGGGCTGGAGATGTGTCTGGTGGTTCTTTCCGATGCGTAAGTTAGTAAGTTAGCAAGTTAGTCGGTGTTCAGGCTAAGAGGAGTGCAATATATGAGTTTGGTTTCTGAGACCTAATTCTTTATGAGTTATTTATGCCTTGAGAGGGGATGACATGACATTTGGTGAGTCACATCACGCCGACAAATAGTACATCCTTGGGGGCGAGTAATCAGTGGTTACTGTCCCCTTGAGCCGCAGATTTACTAGACCTAGAGGAGGTTGGTGGTCGTTTGGGGTCATACACTGTAATGATTACCTTGTTCGGGAAACCGAATATTTAATGCACGTGGCCTATGCATTTAATGACCTCTGTCAGATATTTAATGAGTTGCACCGAGGATTTATGAGGTGTGCACCGACCATTAAATGAATTCGTGCCTGATTGGTTTACATCAGCAAGGGCCTTTAGCCGGCTTTTCTGGGATATGGCGTGAGTCCTAGTAAGGTGTGAGAACACAACTAATGATTCCGTGCTATCTGTTGCATTTAGGGATCCCACATGCCTGATGACTTTGATCATCATTTATTGCTCAGGTTCGAGATCGTTTGCTTTTTTCAAGGTTCTGTGGGTCCCAAGGGGATGCTTACAAGTTCAATTTCGCCTACCTAGGACCACGCTCGTTCTTGATGTTGGTTGCACAATGTCTACATGTCATTTGGTGATAAGAGTGTTGATCCATTTCCCATCACATGTCTATTTAGTGTACATATAGGAATAGTATATCTATTTGTTTGTGAAACTAAGGTGGTGTTCGATGAAACGGGAAATTGGAGAATGAAAATTTAAATGCTACATCGCAATTTTCAATTTTAATCAAAAAAATTAATATTTGTTATGTTCTAATATTGATATTGTTATCAAATATGTTTTTTTTTAATATATTACAATTCCATTATTATCTAAAAAATGTATATTATTTTAATTAGTCGCATCATTATCGTACCCATGTCCTATATTTTCAAATTTTGTTGTATTTTCGGCTTTATTGTATTTGGATACGACACCTGTGTCCATATTTGTGCTTCTTAGGTGAGAGGTTAGCAATTTATTTCTAGATCTAGGTCGTTTATGTGTCAGTTTTTAGGGGAACTTGATCGTTCATATTTCATATAGAAAATAAGAGTGGGTTGGTCATGAACCCACTGGCTTGCTCAAAGAAAAGTTGATATTGGATGACTCCTCTGCATCTCATTTGCACAGTTATTCAGCCCCCGAATTGTGTTTAAACAGTCACTCACAAAGCTTGTGTTACCTTTGCTATCTATTGGTTCACCTGTTTGTTCTGCATGGCCTCAGAATTACGGCCTATAGAATTCTGATTGCATATTTTATTTTGAGCTGAGATTTTACACAGTAGTTGCCAGATTAGGATGCATTTATAAAAGTCCTAGATAAAGGAGTCATTGAGACTTAAATCTGGTGCCATGCAAAGAGCCCCAGAATACCAGCTAGTAAGCTAGCCTTTATAGAGTGTCTTCCATTGCTTGCTTCTCTAAGTTCAGTCACTACTTTATTTAATTTCTGAGGAAAGTATTCCGACCCTCATTACCGAGTTACACTTGCATAACAGGCTACCAGAGGATTCTTTTTATTCTAAAGAGATTTTACGATTTGTAGTTTTTTGTTCAACTTCCTATCTCACTTGTGCACATAATTAGGCTCTAATTTTCTCTTTAGCTTTATGCACATTATTTGATCTATGATGTTAATGATGATGTAGTTTTTTGCTTAGTTGTATAAAGTTTTGCTGGTTATTGTTGTTTGAATTGAGTTCACTTTTGGATTGGTGACGACCAAGGAGTAAGTTTTCTTGTATAGAACTAGCCTAGAATCATGTTCATTGTTAAACATTGGTGCCGCAGATAATTAAACGCGTAGGTAAGAGTACGTGTTTAGAAGATGGAATGTTCTTTTAGTAGCTCATCACAGAGAATCAGCTATGGGCATATGGGAAAATGGGCTCTAGTTTTTAATGGTACCAGTCGGAAACATGTAATTATTAAAATGATATACTTTGAGTGATTCTATTTGTTTGTTAAGTTTGGCGCTCAAACTTTGGTGTTCTACAACTTTGCTATGGGGATATGCTTGCAGTTGGTTTTGCTAATTTTTCACCCTTCCATACAATGGTAACCCCCCCCCAAAAAAAAAAAAAAACCATCCACCCACAAACAAACAAACAAAAGAAAAGAAGTTGCTTCAATGATGTTGTTGCCCTGTTGGTGCTCGGTTTGGGGAAGTTCTCTAACAGCATTATTTGTTTAAATAACTAATTGCTTTCTTGAATGCTAAATACCACAATACTTTTAGATAGATTTTGTGTTGTTTCTTATGCATGGAGGAAAAAAGTCAGAAAATCTCGACATTGTTTTCTGACCTTGTGTGATATGAAATGCCTTGAATAATCATTAGGGTCTTTGCTTTGGATCAAACGAAAAAGTTAGTCTTGTGTATTTAGATCATATGCTTTGTCTATTTAAAAGTGTTGGGGTTCGTTGTTGTAATATAGAGAAGTTCTAAGATCCATTATGATGTCTAATCTTGGTGAAATTGTGCAGCCGTTGAAGGTTGGATTATTCTGGTCACTGGAGTTCATGAAGAGGCGCAAGAAGATGATCTTCTGAATGCATTTGGTGAGTTTGGGGATATCAAAAATTTGCACTTGAATCTTGATCGGCGCACTGGATTTGTCAAGGTATGTGGTTTTCAACTTTTTTTAGGATGTTTAGAAAGGACAATAAATTCATGCACACTTCGGTGTCCATGGATTTCAAAGGAATTCCACTTTTCGCAATTTAGTGGGGGTGGAGAGAGATTTGTGATTTATATAGGCTTGTTATGTATTTTTGTTTCTTTCTTTGTTCTTTTTCCATTCGGCTGGATTTCTTATCCAACCTGTGTTATGTTACCTGCATTCTCTAATTAATACAAGTGCTTTGTTTCTTTTCAAAAAAAATAAAAAATGCACGAATGCAGCCATGCTCGTGCATTCATAAGCTAAGATGTTTATTTTAACTTGTTAATGAAAAATCAAAGCTCATCAATGTACCCTTTGGAATTGGTTTTTATGGTTAGCATGCTACCTTTTGTTCAGGTCTTTCTTTGGCATTTCTGATTCTCATTGACAGAAGTTCCTAGTTGAAACACTTTGCCATTATTCATCACTTTACTGTTATTGGTTATCTATGCTATTAATTTTTTTTGGCTATTTTTACTTGTATTCTTTTAGAGTTTGTGATAAGCTTCTTTTTGATTTGGGTAGCTACTAGTGCACCATCTTACCTATTGTTTTGCCTTGTAGTTTTGAAACTCCCATAAAAAAAGAGTTGGTGAAGTTGATATTGTGTCACACACACTCGCACCAAGTCACAATATAGCTATAATATCCCAGCAATTTGCTTTGTGGAACTAGTTCCAACACTTGTAGTCCACTATTCTGAATACAACAACGCACTAGGTGTTTTCTTGCATATTTCAATTTTCTTTTCATGAGATAGAATATCAGGAGTTCTGAATGGGATCCTTATAGCATTGCATAAGTAGTCAGTGTGGAGAACAATAAAAGGAAAAGGAATCTATTTGCCATGAAAAGATAAAACAAGAATTGTATCAAAACTTAAAAGACCTTGGACGCAGTCATTGTTTTCAATTTAAACCTTGAAACACTGGTATATTGGCAGGACAAGTTCATTGCATGTATCATTGCCACAGATGTTACTTGGCATTCTTTTGTTTTATATATCAACCAAGAAAGGGTCGCATGGAAACTAGTGGATTCCTAGTCCTTTTCAGAAATGCCTGTTGATACTGAATTTTAGTCAACAATAACCTTCGGTCTTCAACATTAGGTAAATTAGGCCTTAGTAACTTGTCCCGGAGTATCACTCTTATCACTATACAGAACTAGTGCCCCAGTGCCATGTGATCTTTCCATGTAAGCCTAAGAAATGACCCTTTGAATCAATGGATTGAATTACTCCATCTGAAAATAAATTGCGTTTTACTGGATGTCTCTGTCATTACAGTGTTATCTTTTGAAGACAACCCATTGAATTATGCAAACTGTCTTTTACGATGGATTATTGCCATAACAAATCAAATTTTCACGTGAATGCTATTCTTGTAATCTCTGAACAATACAATGTTTATCGTGATGTATGGGATCATGCAAAGCCGCAAATGTTGTAGATCATTCCATGGCAAATCAAACTTTGAATTGGGTGTGATTCATGTACTCTCCTTGATATCACAAACTTGACCGTTGATGTCTAGGACAATGAAGAATCATTCTTGGTTTGGAGTAATTTGCTCTTTAGAATTTTTCCTTCGATCTAGTGTTTGATATGATTATCTGATGTACCTTGCTAGCCTATTGGGGTAGGAGACATGGTTTGGTTTTTGTCAGCATGGATTCTTTTACTAGGGGTCATATTTAAATTGCGATGTGTACTGATCAAACACTTTGGAATATGTGTTGATGCTTTTTAAACGAATGCATACTTTGAAAATCACTTTATATGACATTCATCTTGTGCCTGATACTTCTCAGGCAATACTGTTTACATTTTCAACTTCGCTTGATTATTGAATTAGGGCACTCTGAGAAAAAGTAAGTAAAAGAAAAATAATACGTTGTGTTCTAATATTAGAATTATAATGAATTTTATAAGCACGTCTGTATTTTGTCATTTTCGTAATTGGTATCGATTAAACAGGCATCATTGGACTTCAATTATATTGGTTAAGTATCCGCTTCAATGGTTTCAGGAAATTTGAGTTTGAGAAATAGGTCAACAACCCTGAAGTGATCTTCCTTGGCAGTCTGTTTATTATTTTTTTCCCTGGTTTATGCATTCTATTTTTTATTTGTTTTTTTTTTAATTTATAACTTTGGAACTTTTAGAAAAGGTAAAAGGTCAGTTGTTTCAATGTGAAATCATGATTTTCCTAAAAGTGTGAAGTAAATTAGCTAGAATAGATTGATTTCTTTCCTCTAACATACAAAGGATTGCTTTTTAGTAAACGACAATATAAGACACTTTAGAAGTGTAATTTGCTTTTTCGATTTGTTTTTTGATTAGTAACAAAAATGATATTAATAGATAAAATAAAGTTTTACATAAACCAAGCTATGGTGGACAACCCAATAACTTGCATAAACAGAACAAAAGCAATACATATCAAAGAACGTTCCTAACACATATTTACAGCCACAAGATGCTTGTTCTTTGAAACAGATCATATTCCACATGCCTTCCACCACTTTTTTTTTGTCTTCAATTATCCTTGGCTTCTTTCCAACCAAATATCCCACAAAATCATAGTTGTCAAATCGTGTATCGGAAGACGTATCGTTTTTTAAAAATAATGTATCGTGTATCATAAGATACGTGCAATTTTAATTTTTAAATAATTATTAATAAAATATATGTATATATTTTATAAAAATATATACATATATTTTATTAATATTCCACTAATTATTCAAGTTTCTCACATAGTTCAGTAATATCAAAATACAAAGACCTCTAATTTAAACTTCTAACATCAACTGCTTGAACAATTTTAATATTAATCAGGAATTTTGAATTCAATTGAACAACATTAATATTAGACTTTATTTTTTTTTTAAAACTATAACTACTGAAATGACGTTGTTTCATTATCTAGTGATTTAAAAATAAGCCCCAGGATAAAACGATGTCATTTCAACCCCAAAAAATAAAAAAATAAAAAATAAAAAATAAAATCTTCACGTACCGGGCGTATCGTATCGTGTATCGTACGGTACGGTGCAAAAATGATACAAAGACATGATACATATCGTTTTTCAGGTGTATCATGACGTATCGTACGATACGTATCGCGTATCGTGCAATACTAATAACTATGCACAAAATGACTAAGAAAGCACATTGCCAAAGAGTACCCACACCCATCTCCACGCAATCCTTTAATGCCCACACATAACAAAGATGAAATGTTCCTCGGTGCCCATCAACCAATCCAGGGTAATGTAAGGTCCCATACTTTGAAGCAAATCATTAGTATTAATATTACCGTGGGTAATCATCCATGCACAAACTTACACTTTCAATGACACTTTAGTCTTTCAAATCTTACGTGATGGGTAAAAGTAAGGAAGAGAAGGATTATAAATTAACGATTCAGAGAACGGCTAACAAGAAAATGAACTAGAAGGTGGAAAGGTCATCAGCACAATGTCTTTTATTTAACAAATTGACATCCAAAGTGACCAAGTCAAGCACAGAAAGAAGCAACAACTATGAAGATTATCTATCATTAAGATTTGTATGAACCGAAAAACTTGAGATATTAGGTGGGATAAACCTTATTAGCCATATGAGCCACATACAAAATATACCTCTCTTTTATGGGATAAAGCTAAGTTCTCGACTTCCTTATCGGCGGTGGCACCTAAAGAGTTTGAAGATGTGCCACTGTTGTCCCTTAGTAGTGACTAAATTGCAGCTTGTAGTTAGATGATCATCTTCTTATGGGTCAAGTTTGCTTTGCTTTATTTTCTTTTACTTTTTTCTTGTAGGTGAATTTCTTGTCCACTACATTGTAATATCTTTTTGATAATTAATGGAAGTTTTTGTTTCTTATAAAATTTGTCTCTATTTCACAAAAGCTCCTCGATACCTATAAATTGTTTCACACAGCCACTCTTAGTTTTTAAAGACTATTTCAGCAATGATCTTATGGTTGGGGGGGAGGGGGGGGGAGGGAGGGAGGGAGTAAGACCGCATATATTTGACCGTCCCTGGATCTTACACTAGCGGAAGTTTCGTGCACTTGGCCATCCATATGCCAAATTTTGTACTTTTGAAAATCATATATTTGCAAACAGAGGTTCGATGTCTGCTTGCTGTTTTTCAGTGACGATTTATGGATTTGTTGGCTATATACATTTGCCTTGGCCTGCAGTAGGTGATTTTATGCTAAATTGCTTGTTGTGATATGGTTCTACAGGGCTATGCACTTATTGAATATGAGAACCCCCAAGAAGCACAGAGAGCTATAAATGAATTAAATGGATCTGAATTACTGATGCAAATCATCAGTGTTGATTGGGCATTTAGCAGAGGTCCCTTCAGGAGGAGAAATATGCGGAGGAGGTATGTCTCTTCTGAAATCTTGTGTGCTTATCAAAGTATTTACATAACAAAATGAGGTCTGTTCAAAAAAAAAAAAAATTGAGGAAAGAAGAAAAGACATGTCTTGCAGGGACATATGACTTCTACTTCTGCTGCTTGCTTGGTAAAAGTTGCACTAACAATGGAGCATTTCGCAGTGGAAGGTTAGGGTGGGGAAGGGAAAACATATGTGCATCTTCTTTTGCTCTCACCCAAAGTGCTTGGACGAATCGGATAATATTGTTTCCTCCCTAAGATCACTACTACCTAGAAGTACAAGTATTTTGGGTGGAGGAAAGTCTGATTTTTGAAGGGTTGATTTGGGGTCTAAGTCGGTGTGAATCACTTGTGGGATATGGTATTTGCTCCATATATTGTGCAGGTTCTAAAGTACTATTAGTTTTGTTTGATAATATTGGTCCCCCCCCCCCCTTTTTTTTTTTCGTATGGTTGAGCATGTCAAAATTGAAAATAATTGCTGCAGTTGAATTGTTAAAAGAAAGGAAGTAGTCGGTAGCATAGAGAAGATGTGGCGAAGTTTTATATTGGATAAATTTGCTGTTGTGGGCGGTGTTTGTAATGGTGATATGGTTTGGTCAGACATGAGTTGGGGTAGAGGGGGTGTTTAGATGGTGAGATTAGTGGTGCTCAGATATGGTAATTGGCTGATAGAACATGAATCGTTCTTGTGATTGAAATCCCTGTACTGCTCTTATAAGAACATTTTTATGGGAATGTGCTTCTTCCTCCCCAATTCTATAACCGAACCAAAAGCTCACCCACCCAACTTCTCCAGCTTTGGATTCATATGTTCTATTTCCATTTTCAAGTATCTGTTACATGCTTGACGGAGAAGTTGAATAAGGAGGAATCTGCATATAAGATTTTTTGAGTAGCCATTTCTGGGAGTACTGAGGGGGTGCTAATGCTATGTGGCCATTATTTCGTAATTTTTTTGGCTTCTAATGCAATAGTTTTTGATTTTGTATGTTCCATGTCTTTTCATAGAAATTATACTTCAGGGTCTAATCTTTTTGCTGTGAATACATAAGTTGATTAGGATACCCCATTAGTATACATGGTCCTTTTTGCTCCACTTCTTATATTTCCACGTGGTTCAATTGCTTCCTCAAATATCTGAAACTAAAATGTGGGAGTAGATGGTTTTGGTGACCTTTTTAGGTAACGTGCTTGTCAAGATTGTTCCTGATCTTCCCTTGGAAAACATAACTACTGGCTCTGATTTTGGAAGCTGATCATTCTTTCTGTCGTTTGCAATGGAACTTATGATGAGCACAAAGAACTATACAAGTAAGATATTGGAAAAGATGCAGAAATGGTCTGCAACACATCTAGAATATTCTTAATCGTGTTTCCAATCTGTCTGGATTGAAGTAGATCTTTATATGGCAAAGCAAAAAGTTGTAATTATATTATTACACTTGCTATTATTGTAAGACTCGAAAAAATAAGGGACAGCATGATGTGGATCCTTTTATCAGTGTGCTTATTTCTTCATTTCACTTATCTTGTTGGAAACCTTTTTTTATCAAAATTAAATTCTCCAATGGGATTCTATGTATGCGAGGGAAATTGATTTGCAACAATGAGTTTTCTCCGTTCTTACATTTTGGCAGGCTTTTGGGTCATTCCTTTTGGTCAAATATAACATTTAGTTGTGCTTATTTGCTTTATTTCTGCAGATCACCACGTGGACATCGTTCTAGAAGTCCTAGGAGAAGATATAATGTTGGATGAGCCTTGTTCAAGGATTGTGTGTTCTAGGTAGAGCTGAAAGACCCAGATGATTTGAAATTTTGATGCACAACTCTAGTCGTTGCATGATTATTACTGTGTTAATTCCGTGTTAGGTTTTAATTTGAATTGTATTAACTGATTGTTTTGGAAAATTGTGACCCCCCCCCCCCCTTCCCCTCTTTTCCCTTAGCGTGCGGACCAAATGGATGTTTTCCATTGCATTTGTTTCAAATGTTGTTGCTATTCTGGGCTGGTTTTTATGGATAATTTTAGGGCTGATTGATGTTTTACAGTATGGCTTGAAAAAATGTACTTTGTCTAGAATGTTATTGTTAATTGTATTGCTTCAATTGCTTTGCATGAAATTCATAAGTTTAATTGTTTTTGTTTTGAGGAGGAATAAGTTTGAAAATAATATTATTTTGTTCAGTAATATTGGTATTTTAGGAAGTATTTTTGCAGTGAGTCTCTTGTGGTATCAGTTTGGTTCTGTTAAAATTGTTTTTGATTACCATGTCATTTTGTAAATGTCAAAAGGATCACTGTCTTAATAAAAGCTCACAAGGGTGGGGTGGGGGTGGGGTGTGGTTTGCCCTTACAAGAACCTCATGGTTATCAACTTTTTAACTGCAAACAACGTAAGATGTGCAGCAGTTTTTACCAAAATGTTGCGGTTTTCAAACTTAATTTTCCTTTAAACATAGTTCAGATTTATTTTTTGATCTGTTTGCAAAACTTGCTTCGTGAGTGGATATATATCATAAGAAAAAAAAAACTGGTTTTATTGAAAGGCTGAACAATAGTTTTGATCGGGTCTACATGGGTAAAAATTTGTCAATAGTTAAAATAAGTTGATGTGCGTTCTGGGTCTTTTAATATTATCTAATCTATGAATTGCAAGGCAGGAAAAGGTTAAAGAGACCCTCGGTGTTAAGCCAAGGGAGACTCTTCTGATATCAAAATCTGTGGATATATATCATAAGAAAAAAAAAACTGGTTTTATTGAAAGGCTGAACAATAGTTTTGATCGGGTCTACATTACTTAACGGGTAAAAATTCGTCAATAGTTAAAATAAGTTGATGTGCGTTCTGGGTCTTTCAATATTATCTAATCTATGAATTGCAAGGTAGGAAAAGGTTAAAGAGACCCTCGGTGTTAAGTCAAGGGAGACTCTTCTGATATCAAAATCTGTGATTAATACTTGAATAAATAAGTGTATAAACAAGAGAAATAATATAGAAGTGTGTGTGTGAAGTAGAAAGGTGCTTACCCATCAATCAATGAAGACCCTCTACAAGATAGATATAGATTAACCTCTCAAAATATTCATTACCTGTCATATAACCTAAATTTATGACTCAAATTTGTATTTCAAATGGAAAGGGACTATTAGATCAGTAAGTTTCATTCAAAAAAATTGATAAGATTCACTCATCCAACGATTTCCTTTTATTTGAAATATATATTTATAATATACAGGATTTTCCTTATTGTAATGGGGTCTATTTGTGATATATGTCATTTCCATCATCGGAAATAGGGCTGGTGACCCACATGACAAAAATGTCTCGCCAATTACTGTCAATTTATAAAGTTGAAGGTACAAATTAAATTTTTTATGTTTAAAAAGTATTTTTCAGATTCTAAAATGAGATGAGTTCTAATAAAAATTTGAATGAAGTTAGCATGAATATTTATGACCACACCCAAAAAATTAATTGATACCCTATTTGATAAACCGGGGATATAGTTTGTAATAATATTATGATGATCAAATGACATGACAATAAATTATTTTAAATTTTTATTAAGACCTAATTAATATAACGTCAAATAAATAAGTTCAAACGAACTGACATGTCTTTTAAATTCTTGATTTGATTTTAAAATTTGTCCAGTGTAACAATTGTGTTAGTCTGAGAGTCCAACTGTAATTTGCTCTTGTTTCAAATTTCGTTCTCCCTTCCTTGGGATACCAAGCGCTTAGCTTCCCAGCACACACCTCCCTAATTCTAAACCAATGAACATAGCAAGCCATGCAACCAAAGTCACTCATCCCCACCTTCACCACCAAGCAACTCATTCAAATCCAAGCACAAACAATCAAATCCACCACACCCCACACTCTCAATATACTCTTAGGCCACCTCACACGCACACCCACTCCACAAAACGCCATTGTCCTCTACAACCAAATGCTCCACCACCCTCCTACCCACAACCACTTCACCTTCACCCATGCCCTCAAAGCTTCTTCCTTCTTGCATGCACACCAAAAAGGCCAAGAAATCCATGCCCACGTGGTAAAAACCGGCCATTTTTCTGATGTTTTCATACAAAACTCTTTGATCCATTTCTACATTGTCGTGAATGACATTGTCTCCGCTTGTCGGGTTTTTGATACAATTCCTCACCCAGATGTTGTTTCATGGACTTCCATGATTTCTGGGCTCTCCAAGTGTGGGTTTGAACAGGAAGCCATTGCCAGGTTTTTAGTTATGGACGTGAAGCCTAATTGTAATACGATTGTTAGTGTTTTATCGGCGTGTTCTACTTTAGGTGCTATTAAGTTTGGTAAAGCGATTCATTGCTATAGTTTGAAGACTTTCACGGAAGAGAACATGGTTTTGAACAATGCAGTTCTTGATTTCTATGTAAAATATGGGTCTTTGGCGAGTGCACGATATCTGTTCGTGAATATGCCAATAAGAGACGTTGTTTCTTGGACTACAATGGTGGGTGGTCTTGCACAAAGAGGGTTTTATGAGGAGGCAGTATCAATTTTCGTAGAAATGTTGCGAGAAGGAGAATCTGAGCCTAATGAAGCCACTATAGTCAATGTATTGTCAGCATGTTCTTCGCTTGGTTCCTTGAGTTTGGGTCAATGGGTGCATTCTTATGTCAGCAGTATGAGATACGATCTTATAAAGGATGGAAATGTAGGGAATGCTTTTCTCAATATGTTTGTTAAGTGTGGTGACGTGGGTATGGCTATTAAGGTGTTTAATATGGTTGCAAGCAAGGACATAGTGTCATGGAGTACCATGATTAGTGGCGTGGCCATGACCGGCCTTGGCAAGCAGGCGCTGCCCCTCTTCTTGCTCATGTTAGTTCATGGGGTTCCTCCTGACGATATAACCTTTATTGGCTTGTTATCTGCTTGTAGCCATGCTGGGCTGGTTGATGAAGGGTTGATGTTTTTTAAGGCCATGAAGGATGTGTATGGGATTATCCCCCAACTGCAGCATTATGCTTGCGTTGTTGATTTGTATGGTCGAGCAGGGCTCTTGGAAGAAGCAGAGCGTTTCATTAGAGATATGCCTGTGGAAGCACAGGGACCAGTTTGGGGAGCATTGCTGAATGCTTGTAGAATTCATGGAAATGAGAAGATGTTTGAGCGGATTACTTGGTGTCTTCCTAGTGCTAAAGGTGTGAGTATTGGAACTTTTGCTTTGTTGTCGAACACTTTTGCCAGTTCCAACAGATGGGATGATGCGAATAAAGTTCGGGATTCAATGAGATGCAAGGGTTTGAAAAAGATGGCTGGATATAGCTGGATCGAGGTTGATGAATAGATCTATATACAAAAACTGATTCATGTTTTATTCTTTTTTGGTGCTTTGAGACCATCATTCATGTTGGGGCTCATGATGTGATTCCTACTTCCTAGAAATGAACACTGCTAAATAGCTGGGAGGAGGACTGAATGAAAAGCCCGGTTTAAGTTTTGTTGTGCGGGAAAAAGTTATGTCTGCACAATAGTGGTACCTTCTCAATGAAGATGCAAAACTGGTGAAGGATTTCTGACATGATTTTAGTCAAGATGGGAGCAATGCCTTTATTTTTACATCTGTACAGCAAGAATAAATTCGGGTGATCCTCTAATATTCTTCACCATCACTTCTAGGTTTTTTTCTTTTTGGGCCAGGGATAGATTTCATCCAAGCTCTTTTGTTATGATAACCTGCCATGAAAGAGAATAGTTGGCTGCTTTAGTTTGGAGGCAAAATTGGAAGCCACAATGGCGTTGCCATTGGCAAATGACCCACTTTCTCTGGTAGCATATAAACACTTCAACTTTCCTGCCATTCTGCAAGTGTCTATAGGCCACTTCCAAATGGTCTACTTAAATTCTTTTTCGTCGAGGAGTTTGATTGTGACAAGAACACAGGTGTTGGATGGAGAGTGAATGTCAGTGGTTATGTTAGAGACTAAGAATTTCAATCAAAGTAGAATAATTGTCTGTGCAAAAAAGGAAATATAAGGTTTTGGATGGATAGGATTTTTTGAGGATCAAGGTTGTGGAGATGCATCTGAAATTTTACGCAGTCTCGAAGTAACAGAGCAGCTAGTTTTGAAATTGAAGTCATCGCCTCGAATGCTCATTTTTTAGCCAGAGAAGCAAAGAATCAAATTTAGTAAGTTTTAACTATACATTGCCAGGAATTTTCCTATAGTTGTTGTGTAGGCAAAGAAGTAGTTGATTTTATACGAGTGTAACAGTCATGTATTGGACATTCCAAATTGCTCTTTGAATCAATGGCAGAATCCGATCCTATTAGACCATTCTGAAATCTGAATTGTTTTGCATGCTAACTATTTACAATGGAATATTCTCATGCAAACTGTGGTTTCTCATTCAATAGAAACTTCTATTTGTTAGAGTGAACACAGAGACTCCTAGCAATAATTCTTTAAGACTCGATCGATTTTGTTTCTCTAAACACTCGGTGCAAGCAATCGTATTTTGGCACTTGAGCATTTCCAAGTGTTGTTTTTGTGAAATGATTCTGAATTAAATCAGGATGTTCATTTAATTCTTTGTGCTATAGGGTCTGGTATAGAAGGATTTCGTCCTTAAAACAATTTAAAAAGTTAATGGTGTTGCATTGTGTTCTATGTCTGACAAGTATAGCTTATTCAGCCATGGTTGGACTTGAATCGTTCTGTGTATTAACATGTTTTTTTTTTCACTTCCTTCGTTATCAGAATACCTGCTGATGAGTGATGATACCCTTTTTGCAGTAAAAGAACTTCCTTTGTGCATGGTCATGTTCATTAGTTTCACGTGGCGAAGTATTTTGCACAAATTCTGATAGTTTTCTCACAATAATCATCAGCTCACAATTATTATCATCTGTGTGTACTGCAGAAACACGGAGGAAAGTCACTGCCATCTTTTCTTTGATTGATTAGTGACAGGTGGAGTTTGGAACAAAGTTCTTCAACTCCCTCATGCATCTTGATTATCTCTCACATGGCCAAATGGGATACAGTCAGCTTCTCGTGGTGCTTAAATTGAGCCTTGCAGTCATTTACACTCTTTAGAGAGAAAGAAATGCTAGAATCTTCAGGAACGAATACAAGGATGTAGCAACCATCTACAAATCCATTATTCAAGTTATCAAGTGCTAACTTATCACTGCTAACTACCTGCATACTCCAATGAACTTAGCCTTCCTTCAGTTGTGGAGTTCCTCGGTCTCTAATGCTCTTGTTGGACTATGAGCGTCTTTTGCTTCTTTTGTTTTCATAAACTGGTACAAGTTCTGCTACTCTGCAGTACTTTTACCAGTTTGGATTTCTTTTGAATCAATTGTCATTTGATAGCCAAAAGATTACAATTTACTTCTACATTTTGCAAAGATTAATGAACATTTTTACTTGCCCAAAAAAAAAATCAACAGCTAATGTTCTGTTCTTTACCTAAATTCATTATTTTATTGACTATGTATCAAACTATCGTCCTCCTATAACTTTTTACATTATACGTATATATTTTACAAGTGGTAGAGATAGAAGTTCTTTTTTCTACACTACTTCCTCCAACAGAAAAACAAGAAGTCTGGACCTTGCGTGCAGTGGTACTTCAGTAACTGTATAACTTCTCATAGATCTGTAGTCCATGCTATTCATTAAAAACTGTCTTGTAGTTTGTCAAAGAAAGGTTGTAATTTATGATGCCAAAGCTATCCAGTAGTTCTCTATGCATAAGCTTGTGGGAGTGCCAATGGTACGCACCCATATCCAATGCGCGTCCCCAATTTGTCTCATTTCTGCCAACTGTCATGAAGTAACGCTGTCAGTGCTATCCATTTCAAGAGCTTAATTTCATATATTGCATCCAAAATATTGTGTCAATGTAAATTCTTCATTTTGCAGCAATAAATGCGAACTTCCAATACATATGTTCATTAGCCTTGCTGCAAAATGTTCAATGAAAAAAGCAGTTTGACATTTACTTGGTAGTTTAGAGTAAATCTAGATAACATGATCTGCTTATGCTGTTGTTTTGTATTCGTTGTTTTTGAAACTTATGGTTTCACCTTCAGCAACTGTTGGACTGTGCTGAATAGAATTTACAGTCTTCCTTGTTTAAATCAGATATGACTGAAAAGCAGTTTAAGTTACTGGGTAGGAAAATCAGAAATGTGTTATGAGCTAAGATTGAGATTTCTTACTCTGCCATCTCTTAGCTCAAATATAACCGAATCCTCTGCAAATGGAATTGGCCGTATAGATGCCACCTGTGCACGACACAAAAACTTTCACCATGCATTTAATCTCACCAAGTTGCTAGCTGTCAATGCTTATATACACTAACCTTTGGGTCACAATTTCTGCTAGTAGCATGTATATTTTCTTCAGTTCTCGCCAAGCTTGCTGTAAAATCTCCGTCTATACAAACTTCTTGTTTTCCAGGTTTTGCTCCAATCTGTCTTTCATCTTCGCCAACCTTGTTTCCAATATGAGGGAAGCCACAGTCCCTCCATTTCCATGTGGCTTCATCCAAGTATCTTAGATACACTTTACCATCTGAACCGATCAAAAACAATTGACTACGCACAAAGCAAGGTCCTGGTGAACTGACCAAGGTCACACTTTTATATGGAGTCCCATGTTCCACCCAATTCCACCCATCTAATGAGTTCCAATGATATTCAACCAGTCCACCATCTTCTGAAAGCATGAAAAGAGAGCCTGTTAGTGTTAGTGATGATGGCCTCATAGCAGTTCCAGGCAATCTGGACAGAACCAAGTGTTGAGACTGGTAGTGCTCATGCCATAGTTCAGTGACTTTGTTATACTGGTATAGCCGACCATTCCTTCCAACAACAAACACTATGTTGTCCCTGAACACTTCCTGATCTACTATACAAGCAATCTTTGTATTTGATGGGTTTCGGCAATCTTTCCATTTGAACTTTCTCAGCACAACCTACACAACAATTTTGTCGTGAGTAGTTATCAAACAAAAAAAATTCGGCTTTCCCCTTTTATGACTGTCTAAACACTGCAAAAATAAAGCTTGAGATCTGATGATGTTTGTGGCTAATATCTTGAAAGCTTCTACAATTTAAGTTTGATTTCTTATTTTTTAAGTGACACTTGACCAGCCTGAACGGAGTATGTTGTTTCCTCAATATCATTGCTGTAGTGTTTTGTTTTCTGCGGATTGTGTGATATTCCTCTTTGTTGCCATTAAAGATAGACTCACATAGTGTGATATTTGGCAACGTACCGTAAACTGAAGTAATCTTCCACTTTTGCTCACAAAGAAGAGTGCATCTTCTGCTGCAACTTTTGGAGCTTTTCCTGGCACTCCATCCCATGGCGGGCCTCCAATAATTTGCCTTCCTTTCCTAATAGCTGTGCAATTTATCCATGCTAGTTCATTGTTTCTTCTTTCTCTGATGAGCAAACTCCCATGCTCATCAACCAAAAATAAACTTCCATTGTAGTTTCCAAGGGCACCTTTCATTGCTGTCGAGTGCTCATGCCTCAACCAGAACCACATATTTTCTGTATTCAGATACTCAAAAGCCAAGCCTCCATCTGTTATGAGGAAAAATGATCTGCCTTCATGCATCACTCTTAGACGGAAATTTGTGTTGACCCAATCATCTGGGATACTATACTCTTCCATGGATTTTCCTGAGCTTCCACCTGATGCATCAGGGGATAAGTAGTTTTGTCGTTCCTTGCCACCCTTTCGCCGTCTTGATGTTGATTTTGTGGTTTCTGCGTCATTGTGTTCGTCTTTGATGCCTTTTATGCAATTTGAGAGTCCACGTTCTTCGGTGCAATACTCGGCATTCCAACCTTCAGTCTCGGGGGCATCCAAAATTGACCATGCATACCTCAGTGTTACTTTTCTTCGAACATTAACCTGATGATTTGGACCGGAACTTTCACCCCCTAGGCCTGATAGATGTAGTTCTCCAAGCCTACCATCATCCAGAGGAAAAATTATTCTGCCAACTTGTAATTGGATACCAGGAATTCCTCTAGCAACTTTTGCAAGGGAAGGATACATATGATTCACCCAATTCTCCATAATTTGGTTCTCTTGAAGAGTGCCTGCCTTCATACAAAAAATTTATCAATCTGTCGATGGTTAGTGCTAAGTATAGAGGATTAACACAATATTACAGAGAAAACAGAGAGGTTAAAATTTAACTTAATTTTTATACATCACTTGTATTTATAGTTAACTCATAATAATAAAAATTACACATATACCCTCTTACTATTAATAATTTACACATACTATCCTATTATTCTTAACACTCTCCCTCAAACTGGACTATATTTATCATATAATCCAAGTTTGGAACAAATTGTTATAAGATGTGTACGACTCAATACTTTGGTAAACATATCTGCAAGCTGAACTTCAGATTTCACAAATGGAGTTGTAATCTCCTTAGCTACTATCTTTTCCGAATAAAATAACAATCAACTCTAATATGCTTGGTTCCCTCGTGAAACACCGAATTGACAGCATATGGATAACTGTCTGGTTGTCACAGAACAACTGCAAAGGAAGTTGAATTGGAAACCCAATTTCCTGGAGGAAGTGTAGTAGTCAAGTCAACTCACTCGTCGTATGCGTCATTGCCCTATACTCAACCTCAACATTGGATCTTATTACCACGGATTGTTTCTTACTCTTCCATGAGACAAAGTTATCTTCTAAGAAAGTACAATAACTAGTGGTTGATCTTCGATCAGAAAAAGAGTCAGCCCAATCAACATCTGAGAAACCTTCCACTCTAAGAAGTTCATTAGCTCGATATAACAGTCCAAGTTTAAGAGCTCGTTTGAGATATCTTAGAATACGAGTAACTGCCTCTCAATGTGGTACTCTAGGACATCCCATGAACTGACTGTATAGGAAATATCTAGTCGAGTAATAGTAAGATAATTGAGCTTCCCAACCAATCTGCGATACTAACCCGGATTCTCAAACAATGTACCATCATCCATTAAAAGTTTCTAATTCAGATCTATAGGAACATCAATAGGTCTGCCACCCAGCAAACCTATTTCCTCTAGCATGTCAAGTACATATTTTCTCTGGGATAAACAAATACCCTGTTTAGATCGACTCACCTCAATACCTAAGAAATACATGAGTTTTCTCAAATCTTTAGTATGAAATCGATCCTGCAAGAATATTTTTAATTTGACAATCCCCTCATAATCATTTCTAGTAATCACAATATCATTTACATAGACCACCAATAGAACATATCCAACATCTGTTTGTCTTTGAAACACAGAATGATCTGTCTGACATCGAAGATGACCAAACTCTAAAATTGCGTCTGAAAAATTTTTAAATCATGCCTTCAGTGACTGCTTCATACCATACAAAAATTTCTTTAATCGACATACACTCTTACCATACCCCCCCTGAGTAGTAATTCTAGGTGGTTACTCCATATATACCTCTTCAACTAAGTCACCATGTAGGAAGACATTCTTGACGTCTAACTAATACAAGGGTCAATCAAGATTAGCAGCCAAAGAAATCAAGATATGAACCGAGGAAATTTTGGCAACAGGAGAGAAAGTCTCTTCATAATCAACATCATAAGTCTAAGTAAAGCCTTTTGCAACAAGCTGGGCTTTGAGACGCTCCACAGAACCATCCGGATGAAATTTAACAGCATACATCTAACCACAACCAATAGTTTGTTTACTAGGAGGTAAAGAAATGAGATCCCAAGTTCTGTTATGATGTGAGGCATCCATCTCCTTCTTCATAGCTTTCCTCCAACCCGGATCAAATAATGCATCCTGTAAATGCTTAGGAATAGATATAGTAGATAATTTGAAAATAAAACAAGAGAAGATAGGAGACAAGGCATTATATGAAACAAAATGAGCAATTAGATGATTAGTAACACACAAACGAGTACCTTTTCAAAGAGAAATAGGTAAAGAGTCTAAATTACCTAATGTACCAGGTCAGAAGGCGGTAAAGAAGACGGTACGGGCACCTCCGACGATGGCCGAGAACGGTGAGAGTAGACACTGAGAGGTAAAGTAGATGGTAATACAGTGAGTAGCGAAATATCTGAAGATAAAGAAAGAGATGGTAGTACAGGAGATGACCCAAAGTCCAGATCCAAATGCTGAAAAGGTATTGAAAAATATGGAACAGATTCCTCAAACGTGACATCGGCACTAGTAAAGTATCGGCGCAGAGAAGGACTGTAGTAATGATACCCCTTCTGCGTGCGGGAGTAACCAAGAAATACACATTTGGTAGCTCGAGGGTCAAGTTTGTCAAACTCAGGACCCAAATTATGAACATAACAGACACATCCAAAAACCTTTGAGGAGTTAGGAAAAATAAGGGCTTACCAGGAAAAAGAATAGAATATGGATTTTGCCCATTTAACACAGAGGATGACATACGATTAATAAAGTGACAAACAATAAGAACAACCTCACTCCAAAAATATCGAAAAATATTCATCTGGAATAACAGGGCACGAGTGACTTCCAACAAATGACGGTTCTTGCGTGCAGCAACACCATTTTGTGGAGAGATGTAAGCACAAGAAATCTGATGAATAATGTCAATTTTACTAAGATAAGCTGAAAAAAGATTAGATTCATATTCCCGAGCATTATCGAAACGTAAAGTACGTATACGACAACCATACTGAGTTTTTATTTCTTTACGAAAGATCTCAAATATAGAAAATAATTCAGACTAATCTTTCATCAAAAACAATCAAGTCACACAAGAATAGTTATCCACAATATCACAAAATAAGGATATTTATTAGATGAAATATTTTTTATTGGACCCCATACATCAGAATGTACTAACTAAAATGGACTAGACACACGATTATTGACTCTAGATTGAAAAGACACACGGTGATGCTTACTAAGTTGACAAGCTTCACAAGACAAAGACGACACATAACTAAAACTAGGAACTTGGCGTTTCAGATTCTGGAGAGAGGGATGTCCAAGACAACAATGCTATTGAAAAGGAGACAACGAGGTCTATAGAAGTCGAATGTCCAATCTTTCTCTTCGTTTTGAGATCCTGAAAGACACAATAAGAGGGATAAAATGTTACAAAATAATTCAGAGAATGAGTAATCTTACTAATGAAAAGTAAACTAAAAAGAAACTGAGAAACAAATAATACAGAAAATAGGGACATATCAGGACTCAAGTGAGCAGTCCCCAGACCTGAAACTTTAGAACAAGTACCATTAGCAAGAACAACACTACGTGTGAAAGTAGCAGATTGATAAGTAGAAAAAATATTAGACGCACCAGTCATGTGGTTAGAAGCGCTAGAGTTTATGATCCAGGGACTACGAGTGGAGGACAATAAACAAGTGGAAGCAATACCTGACTGGGCAAAAGTAGCAATGCAGGGAGATAGGACAACCTGTTGCTGGGACAAAAACTGAGCATACTCCTCTCGTGTAATAGTAACCGACCCAGTATCTAGTGGAGTTAACTGAGGTATAGAAGCAACAATAGAGGTCAAAGATGGAGTAAGAGACTTGGTATCTTGCTTGAATTCCATAATGGTGCAGCAAATAACAAACAAGAAGTGTTGCAATGCTAAATTAGAGGAAAGGAGAAGGAGCTGGACTGATGAACCGGAGTAGAAACTAATTGAACCAAGCTGAACTGGAGTAGAAACCAACTGAATCGGGTTGAACCAGTGTAAAAACTAAGTAAATCGGACTACAGAAGTGTACTGGACTACTGAATCGGACTGCAGAAGCTTACTGGACCTCTGAACCAGTCTGTGGAAACTCACTACTACTTGCTGGAAGCGGACTGGACCACTGAACCAGGCTGGATAAATGGACTGGACCACTGAACCAGGTGGAAAAATGGACTCGACCATTGAACTAGGTTGGACTATTGAACCGGACCAACTGGGCTCTCTGGATCGCTGAACTGGACAGGATGAGTCCTCTGGACCATTGAACCGGGCTGGAAAAGACAGCTGGATCGCTGAACCGGATCGGTTTGACTTGTTGGACCATTGAACCGAACCGATTTGACTTGCGAGATCACTGAATCGGAGTTAAAACTGTCTGAACTGATCTGAAACAGCTTGAACCACAAAAAATAGGTTGAACTGAAACCAAATCAGGGTTGAATCAGATCTGGGTTGACCCAAAATGGGTTGGGTATGGACTTGTCTTCTTCGTTGGTTAGGGTTCCAGAGAACCCTTTTCTGCGATTGCACCTCACCACCAACGATGAATGACAAGCCACCACAATAGCCACACCAGCACCACGAAGACTAGAACCACCTTGGTCTTCGACTGCGCCTCTCCACCACGACAAGCAACACCACAACAGTATCATAGTACAAGCGACGACGAATGACCAAACTTCGACAAACACAACCAAACTTCAACAAACACGAAGATACCACAACAGACCACCACTGATAACACCACCACAACAGAACTTCGACAAACACAGTACCACCACAAACAAAAAATTAATTTATTCAGAATATATATTTATGATCGTAATGCTCTGATATCATGTTAAGTGTAGATTAAGTTACACAATATTATAAAGAAAATAGAGGGAGGTTAAAAGTTAACCTAACTCACATACATCACTTATATTTATAGTTAACTCACAATAATAAAAATTACACATACACTCTCTTACTATTAATAATTTACGCATCCTGCCCTACAATTCTTAACAATTAGCATTTGACTCAATCAGAATGCATCATTCCACATTGTCACATTAATGTTCAAATTAAAAGATCTTTTTAGCCACGCAGTTTATCACAATTGCTTGAAATTCTATAATGCCTGAATTTGTGGGCTTTCAGTAATTAGCTCATGGAACTTAATATGGTATGCTGGGATACTTTTGGACGCAGAATTACTTTATCGGATAGACGCAGAGAAAGATTGGAAGAGAAAGATGGCACTCCAGATTGGATGAAAAATTTAACACTTTTCTCTTAGTGTCCTTTTTTTTTTGGTAGCGATTTCTATTTAGGAGAACGAGAATAACACAGTAAACCTTCCTGACAGTGATTGTGTTGGTTGGGGCAATATAGACATACGCTGGCCATCACAGAATGGAGATGAAGAAGTGATGTAATTTTTTGGAAATATGACCAAAGTAGTGTGAGATAGCAGGGAAAAACCCTTTGTGACAAGGTACCCTTGGAAATGTTCTCTCTGTCCCTCACCCCTCTTTAGGTTATTGTCTTGCGTAACCAATAAGCTTGAGGTTACCATTCTGGTTCTAGTTTTGTTGGGTCGGATTTTATGATACTAGACCCTTGTTCTTCTAGCCATCACCTTCATGGATTGTCAACTCACCATCAAAGAAGGCAGTGAAAAACAACCACCATGTAGATTTAATATCTTCTGTATTACCAAATTATATATTCTGGATTGTGAATGCATATAAGCCTGAAATAGTTTAGTTAGTCATGTCATGAGAATGTGGTTGATGTGCCTGTCTTCATGTTTTCTTATAACTTGAAGATTTCATTTGTCAATTTGGGTAGCCACAAACTGCGAGCCACCATTTTCATCTGGCAACTGTGATTTTATGTATGGAGCTTTGCTGCTGGATTTGGTTCCCTACAATACATCTGTGATTGCATTAAGCTGATATTAATGATAATCTAGTCGCATTAAAAGAATGATGAAGCTCAAGTTCTTTTAGTTTGCTCCTGATCCAGGAACATTGATGCCTGCAGGAACAAAAGGCAATGAACAAATAGCAAGAAGTTCCATTCGAATTATACTACTACTTCAAAACTCCAGGTGCTGCCATTCCAAAGACTTTTTGAGCTGGCAGGCATCCACAGTTGTTAATTTTCAGGAAGCCAATCTCTTAAATTGCTAAGTTGATTGTAGTTAGTGTGAGATGGATTGTGTCTCTTAGTCATATGGGCTTAGAGTATGTTTTAATTGTCTTATAGAAATCTCTTACTGTCCTTTATCTGCTAATGACTGATTGTTACTGGTGGTCAGTTTCATTGTGTGATTACACTCTTTCACTTTTTGTCTTCTGCAACTTTTTATAATTGTTTATTAATGTTTTATCGTATAATTTTTCAAAATGATCATATGGAAATGATTTGCTTCAATTTTCCTGGAGAAACAGGTTTAGATTTTTTGACAAAGAATTCAATTAGCCAACCCTAAGCAGTTATGCTAAGTTTGTTGATTTGAGTTGCCTTGCTGAGTTCTATTTCAAGCCATCACGCTGTACCATCATTCTCTAACAAGTGTCATTGTAAGCTCTCTTAGACCTTCTGTTTCTTTCTCCATCAAATAATTAGGTATTCTGTTGGCCAAAAATTGGATTAGGTTACATAATTTTCCTTTTTTACAGCTCCTTAAGAGTATGGTAGATATAATTGAGGACTTGGAGTATAGCTGCAGAATGTCGGCGCATTTAAATGGCTGATTTGCTTTAAAGATAAGATAAACTTCTATTCTGGGAGTCCTGACCCAACTCTATGGGAAAACCGAAGAAAGAAAGGTATTCATTTAAGTGATCTCCAAGTCTTGTTCACAAGCTGTTCGTCAATAATTGAGATACTAATCAGTGCCAAAGTTTCTTGAGAAAGGTGAAATTTGATAAGATATGGTTCGCTATAAAATTTCCTAATTGAGTTCTAGTTGAGGTTAGATTGCATATTCTGGGGCCAGTAATTTGGGTTGCAGAACAGACCACTTTTTCGTGTTTTTGGGGGAACGGAAGAGAGAAAGGGAAACTGAAATAAGGAAGAAAGAGAAAAGAGATAATAGACTTTCCTTTCTCATCCCTCCCTTTCCACCCTTATCAAATGTAGTATTTACTACATATTGGTTGTCCTTTGGGTTGTACTTTATGTTGGGATAGGGTTTATCCACATTTCAACAACTTTTCTTTGTGATTCACTTCAAGGAAAAATATTTTAAGTGGAAAAAAAAAAGAAGAATAGTAGGCGAACATACCTGACTGTTTTGGTATTCGATATTCGAAAATGAACCCTGATCCTGTTGTAAGAAACAAGGAATATGACTTGTCATTCAATTCATCTTGTGAAACTGGTGTGATGGATGACAGGGGATGATCTTCTGGACTTCCATGGACTATCCATTTCCATTTCCTTTGTTGTATTCTTCTCTCCACTAAAATACCACCCTACATTCACTTTTTTGTGAGCAAAAAATAATAAAAGTCTTGATGCTGTGAGTTGTTAGGGTTTAAAAGTAAATCTGCATACTTGATGAACAAAATCTTAAATGAAACATGTTTTAGCCCCTGGATAAATATACTTCTTCAAATATACAATAATTAATTTTTCCTTTCTTTCAAACAACTCCAACGCCACATATTTCATCAACCAGTGAAAATCCAACAAACTTTGAGAAGATGAGGGGAGTCATACAGAATTCAACGTTCGAGGTTTCCATATAGGGTAATGGCATTTTATTAACATACTTTGTGACGTTATTTTGTTGTTAGTCATGCTAATTTTCATTTAATGCAGCCAAATAACTTCCTCAACATAATTTATTCCAGTAGGGAATTGACAATAGGCAGTACCTTTGTCAAAAGAAACAAAGACATGGAATGAGCTCCATTCAGTCCATGTACACCGCAACCCATTGAAGGTGACAAAGAAGTATTTTGAGCTGATCCTTCTCTCCATATATGCTTCTTCCATGATGGCTTTGAGCTAGGGTCAAATTCATAGAGATCCCCCGTAGAACTGACAACACAAGTTATATGTTAAGCATGCAATGCTGCATGAATGTCTATTGACATGGTTGTTCATGAGGAACCCAAAGAACATTTGTTTTCTTCCATCTATGAGAGATCGAGTTCAAATTGATGGCAATTTGATAAATGCCTGTATATGGAATGAGATAAAGGGAGGGAGGGATCACCTCACAGTAAAGATTACTTCTGGCCTAATTGTAGCAGCATCAGCTATTGCTGCTACATCTGCACCAGGAGGTCGGCCATGATGAAGCCACCTGTTTGAAACACAAACATCCAAGTGAAAATCAGAGTCGCTTCATGAATTTTTAATTTACATTTCAAATAGACATGGGGATTTGAACAGGAAGGAACCGGAACTAGCTATAACTTCCTCTTGTATTTGTTCAAAAGTGTTACCTTGGAGGCTCAACCCCATTAAGTTCTAACAGTGATCCCTTCTTTGTGCAGAAATAAATTCTCCTGATGGTGATGCGGCAAAATCAAGGTCTTGTTAGCGGAGACAGAGGTTGACAAGTTTCTGCGGTAACATAATTGAACTTTGTTTCCCACCAAATGGAATCCAAGTTTTACAATATGTAAGTCAAATGAATTCTTTTACTCACTCTCTATCTTGTGTAATAGCTCCAGACTTCAATTGGATTGCAGAAGTTTGTTCTGTTTCTCTAATTGTGATGAGATCAATTGCTGGTGTAAACTCAACCCAAACAGGCTGCGAATTTTCACTCAGCTTCATCTGAAAAACAGAAAGAGAACATTTCGATAACTGGTCCAATCTAATCTAGTAGATCATGTTGCACAATAGCGAAATTTTTCCAGAACTTGACTTGGTTAAAATATCTGAACTTTGACCTGGACAATAAACAAGTTCAGCAGTCATGAAAAATTGCAGTTATATTCTAACAGGAAACTTGTTCCCATAAAAAATGGCAAGAACATGTAACAAAAAGAGATATATCTGAAATTAGTCTAAATTTTAAGAGTACTAATACAAAGTGGTGATTGAGGTTATATTTGTGAAAGTAACTGACTATATTTATTGATTTGTATCAAGCTTCATCTAGTAATATTTTCTGATTAATATGAAGTTGCTTTCTGATACTTATACCTGATGCAGATGACCAGCTTCAGATAGAGCAAGAATTGTCTGATTGACCATGAATATAGAAACTGCATATCCTGCTGATACTGGTAAATCATGGGGTGCTATCACCCACTGCAATCCATTCCAAAACCTCTCGTAGATCGAACCGCTTTCACCAGTGACCCAAATGGAACTCTCAGACATTTTAATTAAAGAAACTCTCTTCCTCATAGGCAGAAACATAGAACTTCTATCTAGTCCTCCCTTGTTATTCTTCTTCTTGAAATTCTCCTGTTGTTCAGGAACATCAGATTTTCTTTCTATAGGCTCTTCTGCTTTCTCTGTTTTTCGATCAATCGAATCAACTTTGGTGCAATTATCATTGATGCAAGAAAACAAATCATAAGGCAGTTTCACTTCAACCCAACTGTTGGATTGCTCTTCAAACTCCCAGAACCGATCGATTTTCTGCTGAAATTGTTGATCAGTTTGTCTGGCATAATTATGTGGGCAACATGAATCAGGACCAGAAAAAACAGAACAGCTCAATGATAGGATGATCCAGGTGGAGAATATAAAATAGAACCTGAACATATTGGCTTGAGAACCAGGTAAATAAGACATACCACCCATATATAACAGGAACTCTCTATGACTAAGATATGCAGATACTGTCATGGACAACTTTGGTTGTTTTATACCTATGGAGTGATCCCGTATGGGCCATAGCAGAAAAGATTACACTGAACCACTCTCAAGGAAAGCAATTGCCGTTTTTGGCAATACAAGAACTCTGTTTATGACCCCTCCACACCCACATAGAGAGAGAGAGAGAGAGAGAGAGAGAGAGAGGTGGTCCACAAGTGGAGGGGGAGGGGGAATAGGTTCTTAGATTATAACTCCTTTTGCAGTAGAATCAATGCATTTTTGTCAACTTTCATGTTAATTATGATAAAAGCAGTTGAAGCCTCTTGATGGGGGAGGTTTACCTTCTTTTTGATGTGAAAACAGTGCTTCAAATTTTTTAGGAGTTGTAACCTGTAATGCTTTTCTTTGCTAATTGTAATGTGTCCTCTTCATTCTTTCTGTTGGTGTTCTTAGTTTAACCAAGCAATGGATTCACTATCACCTGGTCCCACATGACTCATATTCCAAACAATTACAGCCATCTGATCTACCATGGTGGGCCCGGGGTTTTGATGGACTCAAAGTGTAGAATTATTAGCAGGAAGATAAGTTATTATCAGCTGAGGTAAGATATCACTAGTTTTCTGCATGAAGTGATTTGGAGAGTTGAATAGACATAACACAAGTGGGGTCTGATGTGAATCATAATCGTTTACTTTTGAGAGTTTTTCTATGTTGGATCTCAGAATCATCATCCTCCTCCATGGTCTTACATTGGAACATCCAGGTCTTTGCATAATATTTGTGTCACCTCTCATATCGACCGTGGTTGTGACGACTAGTTATCACAATCCCAATTGGATATGAAATTGTTGGTTTTTAGACAGTTTATTTAAAGTAGTATAGGTGCATGAACCAAGCACCCCCACCAACTTGCTCACCTCACAATTTTTACGGTTTTTTGGATTGTTAGATAGATGGTTGGACTTTTACTCGTCACAGGAGTGCTATAGAAATTGGGAAAAGCGGAGATTTTCGTCTACCTAGAGGACAATGGGGTCCCCTAGGATTACAGGGTAACTAGATTTAATTTGAAAGCTTAAACATATCATTTCTCAATAAAAATTTTCAATTATGATCTCATTGTCAATAATCAAATGTTAAGAGATGATTAAAAAAAGTAAACCCAATTATCATGAGGCATCAATATGAACTACCCAAAAATAAATGAAGCAAATGAGTAACTTGTAGGGGTTACCAAATCTTGATGCAGGAATTTTTCCCTGGACATTATTGGGCAATAGAGATGAGGTCTATGATGCAGGCGGGTAAATACTCAATGTAACGGTAATATCACGTCATAAGGGTTTTACAGTATCATCAATCACTTAAATAATTATTTAATTACAAGAAATGAGCGTGTTTAGTTATTAACTTATTTGGAGAGATAATTATTAGTTTATGTGGGATTAATTTATTTATATATTATTAATAATAATAATATTATATAACAATATTGATAATAATAGTAAAGAGTGGGTGGGTTGATAGTGTACATGTGGTGGGGTCCACTCTCTTGTTGATCGGCCGATCCTGGAATCTAAGCCACATCAATCGACTGGGAGGAGAATCTTCTTTTTTTGAATGAGGCCAAATTGACTTTAAGGGCATTAATAATTCAATTTATTTATTTATAAGGAGGAGGTTGGCTGTGATACCAAGAGGATCAACACAATTATTTATGTATTATGGACCCACTACGAGTAGAATTTGTTTGTTTATGATGAGAATGATTTTGAATCTAAATCTAAGTAACACATATATCTTATAGTCGAATTTGATATATTAATCTGATTATATTTTTAATTTAACTAAATATATAAATATGCAAATAAATGATTAAGTAAAGTGAGTATTTGACACAATTGAGTTAAAACTCTCACATAATTTGTTAAAAATATCAATTCTAATTGAATTATTTAGATTTGACTGAATTAAATTTTTTAATGGATTAAAGTGTGAATTATGAAAGTAAAATTCATCAAATATAATTGAGTTCAGATCTAAATTTTTATATTAAATTTAAATACAAGAGAAGTATCCAAAACGGTATCAATTTTTCTCATGAACTTGAACCCAACACAAATCCGATTTGACATAAAACTCAAAAATGATTTGATTAATTGAGACGTAAAATAAATAGGTTAAATTAAAGTTAGACGCGAATAATATGATTAATGAGTATTATAGATGAAAAATAAATATTTAATAGATGCTATAAACAAAAAATAATACGACACAATTGACACACCTGATATCTACAATATTTGGTTGGCGGCCGTCAATTTTTTGATTCACACCTAACCACTTACTCTAACAGAGTAAGGGTTAAATAGAGACATATAAACAGACACACACATCCGAAACTATTCGATATGAGATAGTCCAGTCCCCCAACACGTCGACATAATTACTATGACCGCAAGGTCTAACGTCCAAAGTGTGAGATTCTAACCCAATACTAAACGCCCCTTATAAAGAGGATTTGATTTTTTTGATTCATATTATAACAGAGTAAGGGCTAGGTGGAAACATATAAACACACACACTCGAAGCTTGAAGCATTGGTTTCACCAAGTATGGGCGGCCACTTTAAATATCGATACAAATAAACTAATAATTTTTTAGCAATATTTTTTAGATACAATTTATTCATTAAATTATTTTTAGTCGTCAGATTGACGGTAAATTATTATATTTATTAAAACTCATAATCAATTCAATAATTTTAATAAATTAAATTAATAAAATATATTAATAAATTAAATTTAAATAATATTATTAATTGCTTTTATGGTAAAACAACATATATACCCCTGAGCTCAACATATGCCCTTCCGCTGCAAAGAGTAAAAAATAGTAGATAACTAGGGATAACTCATACTTGAAGGTACGATACAATTTGAATGATTTTAAGAGAGATGTTAATAGGCGTTATATGAGTCTATTTGAAATTCTCGAGTGGAGTTATTAAAATTTACTCTGTTTTATATTATAGATTATAGATTTAGCTGGACAAAAAATTGCCGCAAAGGCATTAGAAGAAATAATGGCTAAAAAGGTACTAAAAGAAAACTGAATCCGCAATCTTCGTCACTTTATTCGGATCCACAAAACCTTAGATTTTGTCAATTTCAATTCCATACAATCATGCAGTGTTAAAATAACGTCTCATCAGTCTATTCCTAACTATAACCCAGGGACCTAGAGGGGGCACAAGTCATAAATAATTCAACATTAAATGGACAAAGCCTAAATTGAGAGGATTCAAATGCTTCATGTACCACCTTATATGAAAACCCAGCTACTAAGGCGATAATTTTTGACAGGATAAGTTGATACGAAATTAATGTATTTTAAATTAAGAGATTTTGAAATGACAAGTTATTTATTTTGTGTGTCAACTGGATATACCATATAAATAAATCATTACTGATTTTGAAATTGTTAAATCTTTAATACGACACGAATACAGCATAAATTGTCATCGAAATTGTCTAACCCATGGTGTTTTAACTAACTATATGTTAGTTATATAACTTTTTGAGAAGATCGTGAAGTGTATCTAAGGATGACAGAGGACCGGGAGAAAACGGGTATTCGTCCAAATTTGTCCCGTTTGAATCGGAAATGAACCATATATATCAGACGGTGGACATATACAGAAATATCCGTATAAACTTGTACGGAGATGAAGATGGAGATGAACTTATCCTTTCCCCGCGCCCGTCCCACCCCGCCCCACCCCCGATGTACCCGTTATATATATATATATATGTGTGTGTGTGGAATGCATTTATTAAAGAATTGACTATTTCATTATAAATATATTTTTTCCATTATCGTATAGACCTCTCTCTTGTACTCCTATTAATTATTTAATTTCTTTGATTTTCACTGATTCAATCATCTTAATCAGTAATCGGAGTTTGGATGATATTCATTACTACCCTTTGTTATATGTAAATGATTTTTGCTTCCTTTATGTCAAACACTTGAAAGTGGGTTTTTTTTTTTTTTTTTTGTGGCGAAAAATCTTTCCAAGACAAGGTCACATTAGACTTATTCCTACAAAGTAAAATCAAGATACTTGTTATCATCTATTCACCGCATGTATTAACTAATTGAATTCAGGGGCAAAAGTCTAAATTCTCAAAACCATATATATAATGTGTGCAAAAACTGTGGATTTCCACAATTGAGGAAATAATGAGCTATCTTTATTGATATTGGGTGAGTAAGTTATATTTATGTTATGAATATACAAAAAAAATATCAAAATTTCATATTATCGTAGCATGACTCATGCAACGTTTGTTGAAGCAATGAACATTTGTAATTTGTGTTATATTAGAATATGTTATGCTACATTATGTTGTGTTAGATTATTTAGAATGTTATTGAATTATTTAAAATATTGTTGGATTATTTTTGATAATGTTGACTTGAACTTGAACAGATACGAAAGAAACGGGATGGGAATTAAAAATTTAACCGCGAACGAGAATGAGAATGAAAATTATACCCGTTAACGAAAATGGACCGGAGATGAATGAACTTTTTTTAAGTAGATACAGAGATCCCCCCCCCCCCCCCCCCCCCCCTCTCCCTCTCACTTCGGTCCCTAAGTGCATCTTGCTTTTGAAATGTGGAACCTGACTAAACCGATGTGACCTATTTTTTATACAGATTTCGTGGTTCCATTACATATTGTCTTCATGTCCCAAGAAAGTAAAGTTTGGCTTTTTTTTTTTTAATGCTGAAAGTTCCCCATCAAAAGGTGAAAAACACTTTTGAGAGAGAGAGAGAGATTAACATGTTCCAAGTACAAGTGGCTAAACCATGCTTAGCTACAGATGAATTGGAACTGAAGATATCAACAACATCTAAAAATAGGAAAGGAAAATGCTACACAACCCAAAAAAGTACAACCCAAATGCATATTATCTCTTGGGTGAGTGTTGGAAAAGGACAAAAGAAAACGAGAGAATGAGAAGAGCTTAAAAAGAAAAAACAACAGCAGCAGCAGAAGCAGCACCATACATATAAATTGCTGCACTACCTTGAAACTGCTATTTTAACAGTGTTATGGGCTGCAGAGGCTCCTGACAGCATCCTCCTTTGCATACCAATTCGGAATTAACTTCGAAGCATAGGGATAGAGATCCTTATAGGAATTTCTTATCGTTCCCTCGGCCACTCCAGTAGCAAGTGATATATCTGCACCCAAAAGGTGTCAATATCACCTCCATAAAACAAGTACCATGTATGATGCAATACTTACCTTTGAGAATTTTCTTGTCATCTGAGAGTTGAGTTATCATGTATATTACAGCTGCGGCCACAGATATTGGACTTCTCCTGTAAGATAAAAGTAAAAAAGATTATTCGTATTCCTTCTTTATTTAATCACATTGCAAACCATTGTATATATCACTACGCTCTTTAGTCAAATGTTCATATGATAGAAGTCACAAACCCTTTAATGTGGAATGAATCTTTCCTCTCCAATATTTCCAATCCCCACCTCTTCATCATTTACTACAATAGTTGTCCCTTACTGCATGCTGATAACTCAGAAATGCAAAGATTTAAAAGAAGCATACCAACAAGCGGAAGACAGAAGCCATATATATGGGAAGAGACTTTGAGGAGAGACTGGAAGATTTTGTAGGATACAGTTCGGGTTCCAGCTTCATCTTATTTCCTAACAAGCATCTGACCCTACTGTTCTCAAAATTCGTATTCTGCTTTCACCTTAGTAATCTAAATGCAATATCAGAGCATAAGGCTCCAGCAGATAATTCCACAAGGCCAACATCCCATATATAGCGTGCAAACAATTGGATGCAAACTTAAAAAATGTGATGCTAAAGCGTTTCAAATACCATGTGACGAACACAGAAGTTATGATAGGACAAGAAAAGAATAGGGGAAGGGGAAAAATACACCATCCTCTGGTATTATGAGATTTTGGAAGGTATTTAGCATTACTTTCCCCTATAACTTTCCAGAAGATTCAAACAACTAAAATTACAGAACAGAACAAATTATACCTAACAAATAAGAGTGGCAGAGAAAACAACAATTACCTTATATCCAGCTCTTCCGATTTTTGCACAGCTTCTTGGGCAGCCTTTACTACTTGATTAGTCATGCCCAAATGGGAACAGAAACGTCTCTAGACATATGCAAATGATTAATGTTACATTATTCTACCAAGGGAACATCCCAAATATAAAAACACATGACTGAGAAAGAAAATGTTGCAGTGACAAACTCACCAAGAAGTCCCCAGCATGAATAGTTCCCATCTCCATGGATTGGCCCATCTCTACCTCCAGCTGTTTCACAATAAACTCTTTGGCACGGCCAATCTCCTTTTTTGTGGCTCCATTAGCAACAGAACATATTTCTAGTTGGAATCCACATGTTCAGGTCATAGACATGGAACAACAAATCAGCAAGTAACAAATTTTACAGAGCTTGAACTATACCTTTTACAGTACGGGGCTTGTCTTCTTGTCGACAAGCAATGTAAAGGCAGGCAGCCAAAATTGCATCCTGATTTCGTCCTCTGAGAGGCTTTTGATCTTCTACCTTTTTATATATCTCATTCGCGCGATCCTTAAAGTCAACATTACAATACATAATTAGTAAGTACAATTAAATCAAAAAAGGGCTCTCTGAATTATCAAGATAGAACTAGAATCACTAGCAAGTAGGCACCAACAACTGAGTGACAGCTCCATGTACAAATGAGAGGATTAGGAAAACATGCAAATATGAGTCGAATCCCCAATAAGTTCGACACACACACACACACACACACATATATATCAATCTGAATCCGCAGCATTGTTGTTGGGTACCAACAGTACAAGATTTTTTTACATAAACACCATGACCAACACAGTTCTCTTATTCAATGTGTTCTGTAAGCATGACAAGTGCACAGAACAACATGTAAGCAATAAGGATGAAGATAGTCAACGAAAAGAAACAAGGAATCAGCATTCATCCAGATATAAAAACATTACTCAATCTTGCAGTAAAATGATAAGTTTTTTTAATCTACACATTTGGAGACTTCATTGTTTTCTTATGTCTACCTAGACATATTACATGATGTTACTAAAACAGGTGACTTTCACTCAGACACGTCTTGGTGTCGTAGGCTATGACAAAGAGAAGCAAGCCACTTTTTTCTTTCTTCTTTTGTTGCAAAGATAAGGTGTGGACCCCTAACCATCTCCCCTAAAGATTCAGGCTAGCACTTAAACCGCACATGCTACAATGGCTTTAGCATCGTTTTTCAATTAAAAAAAAAGTTTCTAGACAGATCTAGAATGAGCAATTTTACAAGTTGTAAGGAAGATACCAACTAGCATACCTAGTAAAGTCGCTACGTGGTCACACCAGAAACTTGGGATCAAATCCCACCTTCCTCTGGATGCAGAAGGCTACACGGGAGGCCCATGTCCCAGTACATAGCCTGACCGTTGGACCCACAGAAAGAATTACTAATTGCACACGTAGACCAAAGACATTATTGACCTTAGAAACCGAGCCAGTGATTTTACTGTCTACTCTTTATCTGACACACATTTACACAAGCTTGAAAGAATTTCTAACTGATATTGTAACTTTTCACCATAGTTGGTTTTACAAGTCAGTGGACCAAGCACAGAAGAAAAGTTATGCAAACCAAAGGAGAGCGAAATTTGAACCAAGAAAAAAGCTTTTAAATTTGAAATACAATCTTCGGATTGATGAGGGAGCCAAAACATTTAGACTACTGGAAGAAGAATCGAGGTTCATGTTTGTCCAATTGCAGATTATTTTTTGCTAAAGTAGACTATTCCAGAAGGTTGGTAAATTAGATTATTAAGAAATCTCCTGTTTGTATTTTTCAGAATTAATAATATCTGCAAAACTAATAGTGCCGATGCAAAACATAGTTAATTGCTATACTGCCGTGATAATCTTGGATGCCTAATGCAACAGTACAGTGAACAGTACTGCCACAATACCAGTACCACTAATGGCGATTGACAATAATTCTTTTACTAGGAGAACTGCACCTGCATCAGACACGTGAGAAAACTTGTTTTCCCAATTTTGGTTTTCCACAATCCAACGAATTAACAAACAATTAAGTATTTCCTTTCTTTTTTCATGCCACACGAGCAAAAATGCTGTAAATCAGCGTAACACACTTGATGCACCTTACTATCTAAAACTTAGAATCTGTAATAACTTGTTCCCCTATTTGTCAAGTGAAAAAACCAATGGTAACAATAAATAGTTTCATGCACTCCCAGAAAATGTTTACTAGATTTATCTCATGAGATCAAATTTCACCTCTCCAAAACGGTGATAAGAACTTCAAAATCTAATGTGAACTTCAAAAGGGTCATCATGCAAAATATATTAACAGCTTAATCAATTGTAGTTGGATATTCATTATTTGTTTATGGGTTTTCTTAATCAACAACTCTACGCTGGACATGAATATCAGTATCATTCCTTATTTTTGGTGTGGTAAAATGCCTAAGCTAAATCGCCACTAATTCTGACACCCGATTATGCTCCATATGGAAAAGATATCGAAGTTTCTCATTTGCCAACTTTCTGCCAAGAGAATTACCAAGAGCTGCAGAAAAAACAATTGCTGCAGTTTTTTCCGTCTGCTATGGGGGTGGGAGACAGACCCAGAAAGAGCCAAAGAGGGGAATCAACTCTCTCTGAATCCACATGGTATTGAGTCAATTGACACCTGAGAAGTGGTAAGCAATGAACAACAACTAGTTGTTCCTTTGCTAAAACCGTAAATCACATGCCTCAGCACCATCAAACTCACACTTGTTGGTCAGGAATCTAATCCACAAAACTCAACAAATTGAAAAAAAGGCACAGAATTATTGTTATTGGTCAGGGATCTATTCTCCAAAACAAATAGAACCATAATTATTTAAATAAGGAAAATATAATGACAAAACCTAGAACAAATTTATGATACTAAGGAAGAAGGAATTTCAGTCTGAAAGACAAGCTTTCCTGAAATGGATTACTTAAAAACATGGTAGTAGTATTAATCTGGATTATATCATCCTACTATCAGATTAGGCTCAAAATAAATGAAATTTATCCAAGTTGAGTGTTAGCGCCTTGATTTGATGCAATTGTCACATTGCCTAAGAATAATGAGTATAGTAAATTCCACTCCATAAAGCCTTGTCCCAACTTTGTGACACTCTACTCATCTGAATTCTACTCTACAAAGTCTTTGTCCCTACATTTTGGTTGCTTAAGTTGATCATGTTCTACATTATGCCGTGTCTAGGGCTGTATGTCACAAACTATCACTAGTTTATTTACTATCTTAGTCAACATCAAATTCAGTCTACCTTTACACGTATCATTACCATTGATAGATATCTTACCACTCTCCCAAATGACCTTAATCAATTCTATCTCAATTATTTTTTATTGGCAATTCTTTTAAAATTTTCCCAAATATATTTGTCCTTTATTCCGTCCATTTTTGTTCCACACAACCAAGTTAACATTAGTATTTTAGTCGCACTTTATTTTTGATATTTACTATCTTTCTAATCTTCCTATTTGAATTTTTTGTTTCTACAATTACATTCCCACTAGTAAGTTTTCGTACTCATTATTTCAAATCCTCTTTGATTCCAAAGCTTCTCTCTAAGCTTGTAATTTAGTGTCAAAAACTACTTCAGGTTAATCAACCAATGCTATACCATCAACTAATAACATACATCATAGGACCTACTCCTTAAAGGCTTAAAGTGTACAAACATATATGAGCTCAAATATAATCCATAAAGTAAGCCTATAGTTATTGGACTAACAAGTTTTACCTGCAGCTGTTCTCACTAGTCACTCTATAGGGCTCCATTAAATCAATAAAAACCACATAAAGATTTTTTTTCTCCCTATACCTTTCCATCACTCTGCCAAGTAAGTATATAACTTTCATTGTTTACCTCCCATGGATAAATCCAACCCAGTTCTCAAAAACTGTTGTTTCAAATATTAATTGTTTATAGTTCATGGCTCCTAGACTTTCATTATATAACACATTAGAAGACAGCAAAATACCCCCCCTCCACGTATAAGACACTTTCTTAGATATAATTTTACCAAATTATTTTGTCAATCAAGATACTATTGCATCCTCTAATTACCTCTACATCTCAATAAGTATACTTTCAAGTCCTTTTTAATTTTTATTGTTCTTCAATGCATTCTCTATCTGGGACACTCTAATTCTATGGAAAAAACTTGGTTTCTCTAATATCTCCAGTTCTTATATTCTTTAACAATTCTATGGAAAAAACTTGGTTTCTCTAATATCTCTAGTTCTTATATTCTTTAACAACTAAACTCCTGCATAACTTTCATTCAGCAACCTTTGAAAGTTAATTTTCAACTTTGCCTTAATGTACTCATATTGTATGAAGACTAATACGCTTAGTAGATTAAAATCCATATGTTTTCTCTGTCTTATCTTATTTTATTAAGCCTATATGCATACTTCTTTATATCCCATGCATCTAACTTAGAGTAAAGATTATCATAAATTTTTATACTAAGCATCTCTTAAAATAAAGATTAAAATAAATTTATATTAAGCTTCTCTTACTACTTTTTAAATTTCTTTAAAGAGAAGTAGTGTAATCTTGGACAACTATTACGATTCACGGGGCTACATTGTTAGTGTTAATGGCAACGAGTTCTAAAAACATTATTGAAAAATTGGTGAGTTAACGTCCTTCATAACTTCTCTCCAAATTAGAATCAAAATTAGACTTAACATGCTTCAAGACTCACCAATTGTGATCAATGCCATAACTTGAAGCAAACATAGCATTGGGATTAGAAACAATGGCAATCAAGAGTTGAGATACTTGGAGACCGAGTGTAACACCTCTCTCCCAAGATTTAGGTGATCTTTATAACGACCTTCAAAAGTTAGAAAATTTACCCGCAAATCCTGCTCTAAAAAGTTTCTTAAGCCTAGCCCTTGGATTGACAGAGAATGAGTCTCGAAAAAAAGTTGAAAATGAAAGCACGCAGGCACAGAGTTAAATGAAGTCATGATCCCAACCTCCCGCGCACCATAGTCTAAGTTACCATGAAACAAGGTTCGTCCCTTCTGATTTGCCATATACCACAACTGGCATAAAAGTATTTCATCCAACTTCATTTGCTGTTTATAAAAGGAGAACCCTGATTCGAGTTTAAATTGCTTAACTTTACTTGCTTTGATAAGTAAAAATTACTTGGTGCTAAGGGTACCAAGTCAAGTACATTCTAAGTATACAAACCTCAAAAAGAACTGCAAACAAAACCCAAGAAACTCATGCAACCAAAAAATTTACAAAAGCACCAAAGGAAAAGAAAGCAGAGCATCAAGAACTGCAAACAAACCCAAGAAACTCATGCAACCAAAAATTTATTACAAAAGTACCAAAGGAAAAGAAAGCACTAGAAGCCCCACGCATTGGGTATCCACCTATTTTTGGTTCATTGCAGAAGAATTGTGGAAGATGTGCTGGCAACAACATCCACTGTGCGCCTAGCCCCGCGGCTTGGACAACCTCCTTCCAAACAATTCAACACCTCCCAGATACTTTAATGTGAATAAAAACAACCCAAAAAGAGACAGCCAACCGGCAACCAATTTTTTAAATATCAATAGGTGAAGCTAAGGATGTTGAACAGTCTGCTGGGTTTCCTGACACTATGAAACCAAACAGAAAGTAGTGCTCCCAAAACACCATATTATAGATGTTTTAAATACTCTCTAGAGCTGTTGTCCACTTAAACCAGGACATGTTACGACGCACTTAAACATGCCTGATGTTTTTCCAAGCAAATCCACAAACACCAACTTTGGATGATGCCTTAAAAAAATATTCTCACCCTCACTAACCACAACCATTGATCTCATCACATCCACCCCTCGTCCATAGAGCACAAACAAGCGGCCACACACCCCAACTCTCAATCTAAATTGACTCAGTGGATTTTGAAGCCCACACAAGCCCAGTTTTAAAACACAACCAGCAATAACAAATCTAGAAAACACAACTTCTGACAGAACATCTATCACGACCAAACCTCACCTCCAATCACTAATTTGGCTGACAGTGATAGATGAACCGAATGAATTTTCAGGGAGAATTTAGAGTTTAATTAATAATCATGCCACAAACTCACCACCTAAAACTAGGCAATATTTGAGACAGTGTTCCCTCTACTATAGGTCTAGGAAGGGTAAGACAACCGTAATCTTACCCTTGCATGTAGAGATGTTGTTTTCCCGAATCGAACCCTTCACACCCAAACCACAATGGACCAACCTTACTACTATGTCAAGACCCACCCTAAAAAAGACGACCAGTCCACAAGATTTCCACCCAACGAAATCTGAGGGGGGTCAAATGTACATTACGTTGCCCCACATGTGTAGAGGTTGTTTCTATGAGTCGAACCATTGATGCCCATGTCACTATGATTAAATAATTAGAGTTATCTCTTGGGAAAAATCTAGACCATTTACTATATATAGTGGTGATTTTTCATATGGTCGTTTAACATATGAAATATATTACTTTGTGAGGGATTCTTAAAATTCAACTTTATGCCACATAAAAGCAACTAAGCATTTTTATCAACTCAATTTCCTAGAACCTCGACCACATTTCATATTCACATAACCTAATTGCTAGACAAAAAAGTAGACGTTTTAATGTTGAGAACTTCATTCTAAATAAATGGCATATCGATTTTTCTTTTTACTAAATAAATAATAAATCTTTACCATTGGTTATTTTAATTTATTCCAAATTTCCACGATGCACAACAAATGGCTGAGAACAATCTATGGTTTGCACTTTAACTTTTACGTCTACAAGAAAGCTTTGATTTGCATATTTTCAAATACACTTAACAACCAATTAGATGTGTTTGCCACTGTTCATGAGAATCCTACCATCTAACATGAGCAACTAGATACAAAATATGCAATCACGATGAACTTATGTACATTGACAAACCACTACAGCCCAGAAACACATGTACGGACAACGAAATCGACAACTCTCTGGTCTCCACCAGGCGCTAGAAACTATTATGCTGATGTAGCGGGCCACCATGACTTCCCCCAAAAAAATGAATTGAATCTCTCCAGTTTTATCATAGTGAACACGTCAACTTTTTTTCTACAGCGATATCACACTGTTGAATCAAAGTGCGGATCCCAGGGGCTAGATGTCACATAATACTGTTGAAGAGTAGGTATCCCCAAATCAAATTACCCTTGTTCAAGGCAGTAATTCGATCCAGAGCAATTGATGATCAACAACGACAAGAATGACATCCAAATGGCATTAATAAATGAAAAAGATATGCAAAAAAGAGCAGGGGCAAGATGTCACATAATACTGTTGAAGAGTAGGTATCCCCAAATCAAATTACCCTTGTTCAAGACAGTAATTCGATCCAGAGCAATTGATGATCAACAAAGACAAGAATGACATCCAAATGGCATTAATAAATGAAAAAGATATGCAAAAAAGAGCGACATGGCTAATTGTCCGGAAAGTAAATGGTACTGGCTTGCTATTCAAGTTACTATCAAACGGGAGAGACTGATTACAGATATGAGACAAAGAAAACAAAGAGGAGGAAGAATTTGAAGGAGAAGAAGATAAGAACAATCGGGCCAAGGGCTACCTCCCATGACAAGGCACACAAACAAGACAGCAATGACAAATGTTAGGAAAGATGTTCCTCCATTGAATACTAAACTGGAAAGGATTTCTTGGTTAAATATTCAGTACGAACTTCAAATCAGTATTTAGAAACATACATAAAAATGGAACTTCAATCATCATTTTGTAAGCTATGAGGCAACACCTTTGGTTAGTTCCTATAAAAAGAGCCAAAACTGTATATATTACTACTTACAAATACCAGTTTGCACAAGTGATGACAAACTACATATACCATTTCGAGCAGTTTTGGAGAACTTTCTGCAGCACGTCTGCTTGCAGACTGTAACATGCCCCCTAAAAACCTATCGAAAAAAATACTCTCCCCCTCAAACCCTCCCCCATCCCACCCCCTCCAAAGCCTAATTACCGGATTTCAACATAACAAAATTCCCGCCATGCAGCGTTAAGTGTGCATAGTCACAAACTAAAAATGATATAAAGGGTGACCTGCAGTCTATAGACATGTGTAACCAAACAACACATTCAAAACATGTTAAGATTAGTGGGAAATGACTGTTTAAGTAACTAACATACCTTTATGGTTACCACCAGACCCAACCTGAAAAAAACCATTAATTCCATCAGTTTTGCTTTTGCACTTGCATCACTTCAGCCCAAAAAAAAAAAGACAAAATCCAAAACAATAACAAGAAAAAGCAAACAATTATATTTAAATTACTTACTAATTAATTCTTTTCAGCAAAATTCAGTTCGTCGAATAATTTTCCAGCAAAAAATAAAACGTTACCAGGGGTAGACTTCTAAACAACAGACATTCTAGGTGATAAGCATTATCAAAAATAACTTGCAAAATTAACGCGTGCATATTTTAATTTTTATTTATACTTTAACTAAATTATTTTCTTCCTCAGAAATGCAAAGAATTTAGCTTAAGAAAGAGAAAATCCTTCCAAATTAGCGAGGAAAAAATCAACATGGAGAACACAAACTGCACAAATTCGGAACATCTTTAGCTTCAGATGGAGATATATATATATATATATATATATAGAGAGAGAGAGAGAGAGAGAGAGAGAGAGAGAGAGATTGAAGTGAAATTGACCTATCGCACATGGTGGCAATGGCCTTGAAGGCTTGAATAAGCGAGCGATCAGGATTGGACCCACGGTTCTGCCACCGGCCCAATGACGAAGACAAATAATCTCCGGTGGCGCCATTGGGCTTGGAAATGACCGTCGAGAGGCCACCGTCGGCTAACAAGGGATTGGTGGGCCCACCCACACGGACCGGGTCGTTGTCGCCGGACTCGTTAGCAAAAGTCCTCCACTCCGACGACTCGTCTATGGAATGGGCCTCCAACACTAAACCGCACTCCGAACAGACGGTGTCGCCAGCGGAGTGATCGAACACCACCTCCGTCGCTCGTTTGCAGTCTGGACAAAATGAGTCCGCCATTGAAATATGCGTGATTCACATAAACACACAGGCAGTTCCTCTCCCTCTCCTCTCTCCCTCTGTCTCTGTCTATCTCTCTCTCCCCGGAACCCATGCTATCCAGTCTGAGTGCTTTGGGCTATTTATAGGTCGGTTTATTAGGATAATTACATTTTTTACCCTAAAAGATTTTTAAAAAGTTAATTTTATTCTATAAAATATTAAAATTTCATATTATACGGTTAATATATTAAAAATATTATAATGTGCTCTTTTTATTAACTTTTATTACTTATTTCATCAAAAATACCCCATTTTCATTGACGTAATGGACAATAAAAACTAAAAAATGGTCATATTATCATATTTTCAATTTATTAAAAATATAATATAAAATTTTAAATATTTAAAAAATAAAAAATAAGATTTGTTAAAATTTGGGGGTGCAAAATGAAATTCACCCCGGTTTGTAATGGTAACGACATGCGTTATACCACGTGTGGTTTGGTGTTTAATATTTGGTAAACAGACATTTTAATAGGTTCTGGTGAAATAAAATACAATTTAAATTTTAAAAGACCAATAAAATAATTATTTTTTTTTGTGATTAAAATTTCTTTAAATTTTATTTTAAAATTAATCTGACCGCTAATATTAATATAACAAATTTAATAAGAAAAATAAATTCTTAATGATGTATTTTGTGTGACCTTTTAAAAGTGTTTCTAATACTTATAACTCCTTATAAGTACTTTTAAAAAAAATAGTCTTTAGAACTATCCCACCACCACCACCATCACCCCCATCACCCCACCATCACCATCTCCACCACCGCCATCACTATCACTGTCGCTGCCACCACCACACCACCACTATTGTCACCACCCCCACCACTACCACTACACCCACCGCCTAACCACCACCTCACCACTACCACCCATCCCATTGGCCCACCACCATCATTATCACAACCACCTCTTTTACAACAAGTACCACTACAACCCTACCATGACAACCTCTGTCGTCATCACTGAAATACCTAATACAAGTATGTGATTGAATTTTTTTTTATATAAATAAATAAAGAGAAAGAAAGTTATTTAGGAAATTTAAAATTGGTTGTACGTTAATATGTTATGATTAAAACTGTTATTCTAAGAAATTAGAGGGACTTAAGTGACATTAAAGAGAAATAACGATCGTATCTTATAAGTAAATGGACTGCCCTAGGTTGTCTCATACATTATCAGTATTGTTGGGCTGAAAGGAACAGGCGACGGCATAGAGAAAGAAAGAAAGAGAGAATCAGAGAGAAGGTAGAAAGAAGAACGAAAAGGAAGAAAAAAAAAAAGGGGAATTGGACTCATTAAAGGTATAGATGCATTAATTATTGATAGGTTTACAAGTTATTCAAGCATTAAGGTTATCATAAATAGTGATAAAGAATACTTATATGTGTGTGTGTGTTCCTGGTGAAGAATAGTTGTGAATGTATATAAATGAGTTTTATTAACTAATTTAGGTGTTTTTAAACCTAAGTTAGATTGATTAGTCTTTTATTAAAAAAAAAAAAAAAAATCAGTTAGTCTCGAAGTTTGTAAGGAATTTAATCAATATGTAAAAAAAAAAGAGGAAGTTACCGATTTAGAGTTGTCTTAGGAAGAAGAAGGTGAAAATGTGTAAAATTATAGTAAGTTCCATTAGTTACAAAAGATGTCATTGTGACCCCTTATATTTTCATAAATTCAACGTTGATCACTTTTTCATTTGATAATTTTCAAAGATGACCCTAATAGTTTTGAAACAAGATTTATAATTTTGAAAACAGCCATCGAGCCTTGGAAAGTATTCAAAATTATACTCTGACTTTAAAAGTTTTAAAAATTATGATTTGACCCCAAAACTTTAAAAACTTTTTCTAAATAGCCCTGAATACTTCCATATCTTATTACCTCATATTAGAAAGGATATTTATATGTAAAAGATATATTAAGTATATATCAATGAGTAGGAAATAAAGAATCGCGAAACGACGAAATTAAAAAAAATGATTGATTGTTATATGTTATTTTGGATTAGGTGGTAATTGCATTGAGGTTGGGAAAGAATATTTTGAATTGAATTTTGGAAATTAAGGTGAGTAGTTTACTACTTTTGGGAGAATTTTCTATTAAATGCATAGGTATATGGATGTGTGTGTGTGTGTGAATTTTTCTTATATATGATATACGTTGATGTTTGGGGTTGCAATTTAATGTTTTGCAATTGTGAATTGTTATACATGTGAATTTGAAAAACTTATGAGATGATTTTATATCATTACTTAAATGTGTTTTTGTGATGAAAGAGAAATTTTGTGTACGTTGGGACTAAAACAACAATTTTAGTGTGTGTGTGTTGAAATCATGTTTTTTTAGAATGAGACTTGTAACACCCCAAAAGTCACCTTGGACGGCATTACTATCTAAATATCATTCACATCATAAGAGCAACTAATAAAATCCATCAAATAAGAAAATTTTATTTATCATATGCAATATCTACAATATCTTTCCAAAAGAATATGTCAAATCATGATCATAATAACCAAAAGAATATGTCAGACTATAACAATTACATCTCAAAAGAATCAAATTTAACTTGCAACGGAATAACCAAATATTAGACTCCACCGAGTCTCAAAAGGAATTTCCTAATCTAGCACATAGGAGAGCATAACCCTAGGCATCCACCTGAGGATCCACGTACCCGTCTAGTGGAACTTCCCAATGTTCTGGTTTCTTAACTCCAAGTTCCTTTTCTAGCACATAATCTGAAAAATATGTTGTTTGTAGGGGATGAACACAAAGTTCTGTAGAAAAATCCTCCCAAACTCGAACAAAGTTTAGAAAGCATATAAAACAGTCTGTCTCATTTTACGAATATCATAAACATAGCTTTTGAGAGAAAACATGGGCAATTCGATCTCAAGTTTATACAATAACAGTAAATTAAATAAGAAAATAAACCAACTTCCAACAATAAGTCATTTTCACAACCACCATTTTCACCATAAACCATAACCACCATGGATCTCAATCCACCATTTGCACAATAAACAATAATCAACAATGTATATCTGTATCTTAGGTATGATTCATGATTTACACGAATAAACACATCGAAAATATCCTGGTCCACACACACACACCCAAATCCTCTCAAGGATATACAACTTTAGGAAGAGCGTATGCCAACTCATGATAGTGACGAATCCAACCCAGGAATAGTATACTATCTCTTCTCCTTGGTACCTGTGAGTGAATAATGGTTTGGTCTTCACAAGGCACCAACCCCACTACGAGTGGTAAGAAAAATTAAACCCGCACGGAATAAGAAACGCATCTACCCATTCTACGATACCCGGTCAATAGCCACCCATGGTCATCCAAACATCCACAAGAGATACAATATCCAACCAATTTCTCAAATAACAAACCAAAATTCAAAATCTCCAAATTTCTCATATATCCTTCTAATAGAACAAGTTATGAAAATATGCAAGTGATCATCATAAATACCATTTTATTGTTCAATACAAAACACTAAAGTTTTGAAATCAAGAACAAAGGAAAAGTCAAGAGAAAAATCTATTTATCTTGAGAACTAGGGTTTGAAGGCAAGAAAAGAGATTTAATGGTTATCCAACCAAAACATTGTTTAAAACATGATAATATTTACAAAAATATCAAGAATCAAAGATTTCATAGCATACATACAAGATTTAGAGTTAAAAGAATACATATAAATAAGCCATAACCTCAATGTAAGAGAATAGGAGAAACCTCTACCTTGGTGTTCTTGAAAGAAAACTAGGGCTTTGATCCAATCCAATGTGCAAATCCCCTTTGATCTTATGTTTTCCCTCTCTTTCTTCCTCTCTAAGGTTTCTTAGGGTTAAAAATGTTGAAATGGGGCTAATGGAGGCGTCATTATGTATTTATAGGCATCATTATGTATACCGGTACGGTAAAGTCTTTGGACAGGAGTGTACCGATACATAGTACCAATACAGTATGCCCTTTAGACAGCAGCGTACCGGTACGGTATATCCAGTTTTGACCTCTTCCTCTGTTTTTCATTTCAAATCAATTCCAAACCCTTCCAAAACCAATCCAAACTTTTACAATATACATTTGTACATCAAACATAGTTGGTATAAGTTCTATTGTAAATAGTTTCATATATTTACAAGTCAAAACTAAGTTTGAACCAAATATTTATCCGATTCTACACTATTAACATTTTCTACGGTTATAACCTATACGGTTCATTCCTATGCCATCACATTTATTAAGTTACCAACCAATTTGTATCATCATATATACTATAAACTTGTGGGGGTTTACAGGACTGGGTTACCAGGTCTAAATGGTAACGAGATTATATAACATCTAGTAATGTGCACATAGGGACAAGTTATCAGGCTAGTGATAACAACAGACGGGGCCAGTCATCATGCTAGTGATGACAAGAGATGGGGTTAGTTATCAGGCTAGTGGTAACAAGCATGATTTAACAAATATATTTGAAACTAAATGTGTGTGTGAGAGTATTTTGATTTATAAATGTCTTTCATTTATAAAGTTATTTGTAAAAATGAGTGGGTGCTTGAGTTATTAATATCTTTCTTTTATAAAGTTATTTATGATCATGAGATCATTTCGTTTACATGATTATGTGGAAGAGATTGAGGTACAATTTGTTGTACTTATGTAGGTAACAAAATTTATTTTTGCATATAAAATGTGAAATTTATTTTCACACCTCATTAAAGGTAGTTGCTATTCACGGGCCTTTGTGCTCACCTAAACATTTAACATTTTTCAGGTGAGGATTAAGGGGAGGAGTAAATCCCCGGATAGACAAAGGATTAGAAGGATTAAATATTTATTTTATTGTAAATCTTTAGAAATAAATGTCTTTTATGATTTTGAGACAAATATTTAATTATTTTTGGGATTAATGTTGCTCATGTTTAG